GAGCACACAGCATCTTCAGCTCCTGCCATGGTCCAGTCATCAGCTTTTTGGATTTATTAGCAAGGCAAATCCTGCTCACAAACTATCAAGCCAACAAAGAAATACAGTATAAATGCAACGAAGAACCACAGTGAAAAGCAAATGTGCCTTATATAAAGTCTGAAAAGGTCACCAGAATGTTTGTGGGAAGGATACAAGCATTTTTAACTCTGAACAATAAGACCAAAAGGTGGACAAGGAAACCACTGTGATACCGCCCCAGGCAGTGAATAAATATTGCCACAGACCATGAATTAACTCCAAATCAATTGTGCTCTCATGAAACCCTCTACAATACAGACACTGATTCACACACCTCAGCATCAGCAGCAAAACAGGCTGCTAATTAATGTTTTTCTGGAAGTTCTTTTAAAAGTTGAGCTCTCAAACTATCATTCCTCTCCCGCTCCCTCTGGACAGTCTTTACAAGACAGATAAAAGAGGAACATACCGTCCCCAACCACGCAGCACAGGAGGACATTTCAAAGACAAAGATCAATGCCTCATCTTCTGATTTTTGGCAGGAATCTTAGAATTCAGGGTTATTTCTTATTTGACAATTCCCAACAGCATATCTTACTTATTTACAGAAGGACAGGAATTAACAACAGATCATGACATTTTTATTTTAATGAAATTTAAAAAGGCAGTTATTAGTTATACATACACACAACTGATTCTGTACTTGTTAGTCATAAATATAGAACATTCAGAAGTACAAAATACACTTTATCCACAGCACAATTTCACATCAATATGAAGAGTTTAAACAGATACGTAACCAAGTGCCTAACAATGACAGAAGCCCATTTTTGGAGTTGTTTTCTTTTTTTTTGTTGTTGTTGTTGTGGTCTTTTTCTCTCTCCTTTTTTAAAGACCATTAATCTACACAAAGCAATCAGTGCCCACAATCATCAGTTTCATGAAATGTACTCTGGTTTAGAGTAGGAAAAGACTGACCTTTAAAGACAATTCGATGCCATCACCTTTTCTTTGCTCCGTTAACAGCAACAAACCCAAGCCCACATTCTCTCCTTCTCACAGTTAACAACTGTGAAAAATGGGACTCTGGCAAAAATCACCTGAAGCCAAACTTGAGCACTGCCAGGAGAAGTGAAAATATCTGAACTAGAAATTAGTCCACTCGATACCTTGCAAACGAAGAGCAACAGCAGTATGACACCGATAAGGCATTAATGACGAAATGGCTGTATTATTCTCCAAGAAAGAGTACACCTATGTATAAAAATATATGTCAGAGCAATTGGGTAAATCCAACACTATTTAACACTGTGCCAAAAGTAATTAAGAGTTAAAAAGGCAGTTCTGCAAGAAGTATTTACAGTTTCATACTGTACTTCAAAAGAAAAGAAAAGGCAACGAAGCTACAAATGGAACTATCTGGTTAAAGCATCACCGTAGGTACTGCCAGTAGCACTTGTACAAGTAATGTGATGGAGTTCCTCATGTTAAACAAGATTGTTTGCCTGACTAAATGAATATAAATATTTTAGTAGCTAAAATCTTCTCAGTCTACACCTGCTCCTTGCCACAACCCACCCAAACCATCACTATTTGCAGTTTCTTGCTCCATCAGTTTAAAACCCCAAAGATTCAGTTTCAAGAAACACTGTTTTCAACAGTTCAATCACAAACCACAGCTTTATTTCCAGCTTAAAAATAAAAACACAAAAGAAACAAGAAATCCACCACCTGTGAAATTCTGGAAACCAGCAAAGTGCCAGCAAAGCTACACCGATGGCACGTAATAAAAACATCAGCATTCCCAACGCACCTTGTAACTTCAGCTATAGGATAAGTAAGTGGCTTTAGTAACCAAACACATGACAGAAAGATACAGCACAGCCAAGGCTACACAACTTTGTCAGCCACAAGACCTGGGACGTGGCTGTTTGGGAGGAGCAAGCTACAGACACTACGGAGCGCAGAGCGCAGCGCAGGGTGCCCTGCGGCGGGAGCAAAGGCTCAGCTGGTTCCTTTGCTTGGTCAAGCACAAAGTTGTCAAACTCTTTAAGCTCATTAAGCTCTCCCTCCTCACTGACTTGGGAAAGGCAACCCAACACCTCCCACAGGGGCTGGGAGAGCACCGCAGAGATGAGGTGTCTGGGAACAGGAAGGGAGGGCAGGAAGGGTGGAAATGCCAAGAATAAAGCATTGGCTTGGGATGGCAGAACAGAAACAAGGGATGATAGTGACTCACAGGGAATACCCAAACCTGGCACTACCCAGACTGCCCTTAGCAGAGTAGACATTGCCTTTCCCAATCAGAAAGGCAGGAGTAGTCCACAAGGTGAGAAGCAGTCCATGCTCTGATCCCTCAGGCACGCTGACTTCAAAAAAATAATACTGTGTTTAAAAACAGAAACAAAAAAACGGAGATGTGCTTGAAATTCTGCTAACAGTGCAATTCTAACTGCACAACCAAATTCCATACATGAGAAGTCTTCTCCAGTAGTATAAACACCATGGCACACTGAGGAAGTTATCGCAGATGTGAGGAGAAGGAAAATTACTTTTAAAACCTTATTTTAATGGAATTAAGGAAGTTGAGGAAAGTATAAATATACTTAAAGCAGTTTGTTGGGTAAAATAAAACAGCAACAGCATTTTTTTCAATATATTTTTCACTTTACTGAGAAATATTTTTAAAAAAATTTTAGAAGAAGTGACATTTATCCTGTCAAGCATCTTCTGTGCAGACACACAAACTGCTCACCTACTGCTCCCTCCCTCGTGATCAGCCCCTTTCAAAGCCCTGGACAGATACTGAGCACCTCGGTCAGCTGGCACAGCATCCAGGCAGCTCCTCCAGACATCAGTGAATTTCACTCTGGGCAGCAGAGCTTTGCCTGTCCAATTCCATGAGCAGTCAGTCATTCATCCGAGCAGCATGAGGGGAAAGGAAGAACGTTCCAAGAGAATAAACATCCATGTATTTAAGAGCACATAGCTTGCTCACCTAAGAAAGTATTTTCCTGATCTCTGGGAGGGAAGAGGGGTTTTTTTTTGTTTGTTCTCAGTGTGATTTGGTGAGGTAGGTACAGACTAGGAGACCTGAAGCCTCTCCAGAACTGCACCTAGATATACAAAAACTTCATAACAAAAGAGTCCCTGACCTTACTTGCATGTAGGGTAAGAGATTGGTCCCAGATTTAGAGAGAGAAACAGTAGGAAGGACTCTTTCTGGATACTGAAAAGTACATGCTGGTCTCAGAGAAGGCTGGGAAAGCAGTGTCAGATGTGCACACCAGCACATGGCCAACTGTGACAGCATGTCCCTGGGCTTGCTGCACTGCTCGTCAGCACGAAACCTGCATGGCCAGAGCAGGTTGGGGGCAGGCAGGCCCTGCTTCTCAGGAGATGGTCCTGACAAGATAGACTGCAGTGATGTGTGCTGTGTCAGAGGCACCCTGGAAGTCAAGAGGAGCTATGAGAAGGCAGAGCTTAGTGCTGTGAGGTCTAAGAATTCCTGCAGACAATGAGATCTGCTGGATAGGTGCTATGCCCTGGGGTTTCTGGGTCCAGCTGGTATGCCCAGGTCTCTGAAGGTCCCCAAACATGCAAAAGCTGAGGGAAACTCTCCCTCTCCTCCTCTGCAAAGGCTACCACTGTCCAACCTCAAAGGTTATGAACAACCTGCAAGTGTGAACTCAGGGCTTCTTATCCTTTGTGAGCGATTCCTTCTCCCACCCAGAAGAAATGATCTGGATAAAAACGCTGACCTTACAACCTAACCTCTGTAACTTGCAATGCATATGAAATACTGAATCAAAAAACCTTCCTGCCACGTTGCTGATGAAGACATACAGTAGGTGACTCGCCCGAGAGGAAGGTGATCTACTTACCTCTGTGGAAAAGCATACAGCATTCAGAGTAGTCAAGAGTCCTCGACATACTTAGCAAGCTGAAAATCCCATACTTAACACAATAGGGTTAACAGGGTTTAACAGAACTGATTGCTTGGGAATCCAAGCAAAAATTCAAGTTATCACTGTGTACGCAGTGGACAAGAGTCCAATCAATATCTATTACCAACTCACTCTAAAAAACTTATACACTACAAAACCACCTCACTGCTTGCAGCAAATGAGTTTGAACGATTTCCTAGTAACAGGCCACCACCCTGCACTGTTAAAGTGTGAGGTTTCACAGTATAAAAAAGTACTTCACAGAAAGGAAATGCAGCTAATATAGAAAATGCAATCTCGACGTGTTTACAGTCATTTTTTACGAGGCAATATTTTTGGGAAAGCAAGAACAATAGAAATTAAAGCAGCCAGTGAGAAATGTACAAGGTTATAGGCCTCAATTCAGTGCAAAACCAGACTAATAGCTTATGTAAGTAAATGTTTGTTCTGAATAGAGAACCACCTGAATTAAAAGTAAGAACACCTATGTGAAGTGATGGAGACTCCCACGATATTCAAATCCTTCACATACATCGTCAACCTTTTCAGTACACTCCAGAATGGACCCTTTGTAAAGGCAAAAGAAATCAGTACAGGAAATCACTTCATACAGCACAAGATATACATAAAGTACCAAAATGTACACACATTCAAGTTTAAGTTAGAAAAGGCAGAGCTGAATCTTCTGGTGAGAGATGCCTACATTATGTTGCTTAATCTCAACATTTAAAGTGACCTAAAAACTACAAGAATCAAAGAAAACAGAATACTGTGTCTGCTTTCAGAAACTTAAGCTTATAGCAAGGCATCGAAATCGAGCGGTAGGCACTGTAACAAGACATGACCTTACCTTTTCTCTGTTAGTCTTTGTTACTTCGTGATCTATTTAAAAATTACCATTCAAGGAAATATTAGGTATCATTCACATTCAAATATTTAAGACTCAGAGATTTTTTTTTTGTTTTTAAATCAAGCGAAGTTTTTCATCTCTGAGGTAGATGACCATAAACTAAAAAAAATTACAGGGCTGTCAACGAACACTAACAAGTGCTGGAGCTCCTCTGTCGGCACTGACACACTCCAAAGAGGAGAGAGCAAGCCCTACACCACTATCTGAAACATGAGAAATGTGTCTCCTGGTTTAGTAGCTTCTACAGAAACGCAACACAGAAAAAGCAGCGTCAAAATTACACTGAAATGGCCTTGTTGAAGAACTTCCATTTCTGCTTCGCAAGCTACTCAGAAAATGGTGGAAACATGCCCAGGTCAGCAAAATCTTCAATGTTGTAATTGCCAGTGCCCTGTGTGGGATCCCCCGGCATCGGCAGCATGTCCTGCATGATAAGGAGAAATCAAAGTCAAGTGTCACTTGCTAACACATTATCCAGACACAAACTGCTTCCTGTTCATCTTTTCAGTGTAAAACCAGAAAAGGCCAAGTTTAGATAAATCAGGTGAAAAGCAGAGCTGTGCAGGGTGCTGGGGTAAGGTTTGTGAGCTACTTATGTTTTGATGGAGAGTTTCTGAACAAGAGGTGGGACTTAAGCAGGGCAGAAGTTTTGGATCGCTCCTCTGAATAAGGCACATTTGAGCTGCCCCATACTCCTTCCAGACTGAAACAGCTTCCCTTGGAATGGGTAATTACACATGGAGAGAAGCAAACTCTCTGGTTTCACAACATGGCAAGTATGAAACACCTCAGAGACTCGAACTCCTGCTGTACAGGATGGGTTTGGGGAGGTCTCACCTCCTCAGCAGCACTCCCTAGGTGAACATATTAGTGCTCTGTGGAGCACTAAAGACTGAACATCCACCCCAGCTAACAAGATGCCCAAGCATCCTTCATCAATGTACAAAGGCAGAGGAAATAGCAGGAACTTCTCAGGAGAAATGGGATTTCATGGTAATTGCTCCCACGTGTCTTGAGCCAAGTGAGATCCCTGCAGGAGGCTTCAAAAAACACTCAACCTTTCCTCTCAGCCGGAGGCCAAAGCCACACGGAAAAGATATCCCTTGCTGGGAAAACCAGAGTTTAGAGTTGCTTTTCCTGTCAGTCCTTACAATAATAAGCTCTTACTGCAAAGCCAAGTCTTGCCAGGGATGGCTCATTATCCTAACAATAAAACAAAACCTAAAGAGCAAATAACAAAGCTCACAGGATCTGCTCTGTGAAAGAATAACTCTGAGAGCTGCTGCATACTGGGAAGCTACCCCACAAATAAAGACTGATTAAAATCCACAAGGTCTCCATAGTATTCCTGTTGATGAGGTGAAAGAGGCTGTAAACACAACTGGCAGTGTCTGAGCTGCCAGGATCAGCACTCCTTTTCTAACCAAAACTTGCACTCATTTAATGCTTTCCCACATTCTTTCCCAGCCAAGGGGAAGCTATAGCTGCCCCCACCTGTTTACAATTCCATCTCTGAAGGCATTTCTGCTGCTGGGGCCTCTGTGATGAGGTCTCCTCAGGTACAGACCCAGCAGGGTCCCCTCTCAAGTCTGCCTCTCTCCTTATGCCCAGCTAACCCATGGCTGGCTTCGGGCACAAACAATCCAAGCAGCTTCTTGAAGGCCTTTGAACTCAGCTCATCCAAGTTTCTCATCACATCCAGCTACTATCCTAATTCCCTCCAAGAGCTCCACAGGTGAGCTCAGCTCTCCTCCTTGGCCCTCCTTCCCACTCATTTAATAAGAAGTTTGTTGGGACATAACACTTGCCTGAGACACAAGCAACACAGTGCTTGGACCCTGTGTCTCTGTTGGCCATTGAACCATGCTGTCCAACAGAACTACCCTGAACAGCCTTATGGATTAAAGTACATGCAAAGCAATTTGCTAACACAGACAGATGCAACACATTAATCTTGCCTGAGCCACAGGTTAAGAGCACACAGACAGGTGCATTCCAGATGTAGTGCTGTTATTTGTTCCTGTGTGAGGCAATGGTTCATTCACACAGGGATATGTGCAGGCTAATGCCTCTTCTGCAGCATTTCTGCCAGCAACTGAGCACGAGCCCTGTCTTGCAGGTGAATTTACCTTCTAAAAGATAACAAGGTACCCCACTTCTGAAGTTTACTTGGGCCTTGAACTGTCTTTCCTGCATTTATCTGCATGGTTTTCTTGCAAACTGTCTTCTTGATCTAATTTAAAAAACAGTTGTACAAGGACAGAGACCTTATGAGTTAACATATAAAGTCCTACTCCATCAGTAGCGAAGGCTCAAAATTAATGTTACCAAATTAGGTAGTTGAAGAGGATTGTTTACCATCTATCTGATATCTGACTGTGAAGAGGATTGTTTACCACCTATCTGGTATCTGACTGGGTTAAACCTTAAAAACTTATTGACCACTATCTTCTATGTAATATCAGACTCCTTTCCTGCTTTAACTAGCAACAAGAATCATGTTGGACTTGACTGGAATGTCAAGAGGTCAGCACCAGGATAAGAAGATACTCCACTTGGGAATATTTCATGGAGTCTCTACAAAAGACATAAGCCCTAAGTATAGGGTGCAAAGAGAAGGGAAACCAGCATTTTAAATCAGCAAAGACACTGTTCTATGGCAGAAAACAAACCCATCTCAGCTGTAGCTAAGCCCAGCTAACAACAGTGCAGCCCTGCTGCACCCTGATCCCTGAGGGCCTCCCAGCAGTGGGAGGCTGTCAGAGGCACTTTGGGCTCACTGAACTCTCCTCACCTGGAACACCTCGGTCTGGCTGGGCTGTGGGTGTGAGTGCTGGTCACTGCTTTGCTGGTTGTGGTGTTGGCTCTGCCACTGGGACCAGACTTCAGAAGGTCTCCCCTGGAACTGGCTGCTGCTCTGGCCACCTTCAGCTGGACAGGGGGAGAAAGAGCAGAAGTCAGACAGCAGCTCCTCCAAAACACCTGCTTGCTTTGAGGTATCATCCATCAGTGGCTGTGCCTGCGAATGAGCCTTAAAGACCCTGAATGACACCAGCCCTGCAGGCTGAAAGCCCTGACTGCAGGGTGAGGGCCAACCCGAGAGCAAAGCTCATGGCCATGGCTGCACAGACCTGGCAGGTGAACTGCCCACAGCAAAACACACAGTGACACTATAAGCCAAGCACTGGAAGACAATTTCAAGCATCCCCCCTCTGCTTTTTTGTCACTAATAAGGAGTATTTGTCATTTCACACAGAAGCCAAACTGTACCATCTGTATCATGGAATCATCAAGGTTGGAAGAGACCTTTAAGATCATCAAGTCCAACCATTAAGGCTCTTTCTCTTTAAAAGACTAATTCTTGCAGAGCAGTGGGTGCACAGTTTCCTGTGTTTTTCTTTCTTGTTTGCTGGACTATCTTGTCCTCCAGTATTACAGCTGCAAAATTATTTATTTAACATGCAGCTTATAGCAAATTATTAACCTGTTCATATGGTGATAGTGTCTTAGAAGTCTGAGGCCATTTACATTTCACAGAGTAACATGAATAGAAAGGCTTTATAGTAAATGCACTTAAAATGATGATTTCAGGGAGATTAATTTCTTCTAAATAGTTTACCAGAAAAATACACATTGCCACACATTAATTTGGTTCCAATTCGGTTACCTGTTACACATACATTTCTCATGAGTACAGTCATAGATTACACTTAAGCTTGACTCATTTTACCCTGTATTTCTACAGACTTGCCCAAAATGTATAAAATTTTGGTATCATTTTCCTTCTAAGATTTAGCATTTTAGAAAGCTTGTCACCAGGCTTGTGCTTCTCCTCCAGACATTTTCTCCTCTATTTTTTTGTTTCTTCTTTTTCTCTATATAACTACTCCTACTACTTTTGCCTGTTTTCCCCTCGCTGCAGAGAATCAAGCTGTGTATATCTGGTTCTCCCTGATCATCAGTGTCCTCTGCCAAATTTCCTGTGCCAAACTTGCAAACACATGCTATGTCAGGTCTCAGATAACCAGACCCGATCATGTCAAATTAGCCACTAATCACAGTCGTGGCTTCAGAAAACACAGAAACATGTGTTTAATCCAATCCTTTTGGCTACCAGCTAAGCCATGCAAAACATGTGAAGGGAATGTCCTACAGGGAAGTAAACAGGTTACAGTGATGTATTTCCATCACATCTAAAACAGATGATTACAGCTCTTTCCTTACTGGCATTACCACAACCAGTAATTCAGAAACTCTGCAGCCATCTTAAGGACCAAAATAAAATTCATCTAAGTTACCCCTTAAAAGAAAGCTGCAAGTTTGGGGTTTTTTTTCCCTAAGAACAATAAATTGAAATTAACTCAGTGAAGCAAATGATGCTCCTTTTCAGCAGAGCAGTTCCTGCCAGCCGCGGTCGAAGCCACTCGTCTCCGTGAAGGCTGTGATATTAATAGCATCCAAACTGATGTAGGTCAGGAGATGTTTCTCATTAGGTGAAAGGGTTCTTGCCAAGTAGCTTAGGCCTGAAATACAAGGCTGTCTCATAAACAAATGTACAATGCCTGGTGGAAATGGAGGCAGGAATAAGCTCTGTGGGAAGAGCTCCATTTCAATGCACTTTTTCTCGCTGGACTGCAACAGGTCTAGGTCTGTGCCAGTTCTGTTCCCAAGGGACAGGACAAAAATGTCACACATTAGCAAACTGCTACCTATGCTTTTTGGAATTGCACATTATCATCAGCCAGTGACATTTTTCATGGAATCCATGTGTGTTAGCACTGATGGATTAATTATATTTTGATTCTTGAATATTATTCTGCTGGTAGAGTGCACAAAACTTACCAAGGGGCTACCCATGGGGTCATGGTCTGAAAGCCACTAAATTAGCATGTAATAGGAAAATAAAACCATTTCAAAACATAGCACCTACTCTGATTAGGTTAGTAGCAATGGGGGTACAAAAAAAGATCCTGTTTCCTGCCAAAGTCCAGCAAGTCACCTTTGTGCAAGAGGACATTGCCGTGCAGTCAGGACAGATGAAAAGTGAAAAGGATGCAAATTTGTGTCATTTAAGTGACACTGTTTACTGGGAAAAAAACCACCAAAGTTCCCTCATAGCATAAAATGCCACAATATTCTGAAGTGTGTTAGATGTGGAGGAGATGCAGCGTGGAGGGAACAGGTCAGCTCTGTCCCTTGTACTCAACAAGGGAAAACCAAACCCTTTCACCACCTGAGCTTCCCAACCAACTCAGCACAAGAACAGGTTGGAGGACTTATTTTAATGAGTTACTCAGCACAAGAACAGGTTGGAGGACTTTTAATGAGTTCATGCTGGAGAGTTTCATTATGTGCATTTCTGTATGAGGTCATGTAAAACTTACCAAACCCTGCACTTCGGTTTGCTAAGCTCGAGTAGGCGTTCCCGCTGGGAGAGGAGGTGGCTGGGCTGGAGAGGGGGCTGTAGGATGATGGATCAGCTGGGTAGGTGTGACTTGTCCCAATCCCAAAGGGAGATGACTGAGCCTTGCCAGACTGAGATGGAATTTGCTGAGGAATAAAATGTAAAAGAAGGAACAAGTTTTATTGTTAAGGAACAGAACAGCAGAATCACTTTTTAACAACACAAAGCAAAGACTAAATAAACTCTGTGGATGTGAACAGATCCTGTCTCTTTTCTGCCAAAGCCAGCTTACTGCTGCAGAAGGAACACGACAGACTATAAACCAACACTCACAGCTCTCCTGCTGATTAACTCACGTGTACTCTGTATCAGAGCTGTTTGGAAAACCAGGATTTCCCTCACCTCTATTACAAGGATTAATCTCAAGTTGAACAGCTATAAAGATCTCACCTTTATTTGCCAGGTGTATTGACTTTGCAGTGCTACAATAAAATCATGGCCATCTGAAAGTCTTGCAGAATACCTGCAGTTTCACAGATGATCAGTCTCCAGTGCTTGGAAGTAAATGGTCAAAGAAGTTTCAAGTCTAATGAGCTGCTTTCTCTCTGTGCCCATAAAATACAGGCAGCAGTTATTTTGCCTTGTAAAAGGCTTAGGAGGGTGAATCACCAGCCCTGGGAGGTGTGAAGAAACAATCTAACATTGCTTTAACTGGGCAACTCAGTTAATTTAAGAGTACTAAACCACAACTTGCTGTCATTTCACCTACATAATGGCTTCATCAAAGGATCTCCAAGAATATTGCACAAATGATTCAACACTGCAGACTACTCTGAGATATGTACAACATATACACTGAGACTAATAGGGGGTGAAGTGTCTCATCCCATGTCATGTGCTACAACAACATATCATGCTACAGACAGAACCTGCTTATAAACCATTTCCCACATTATGAACAAGTCCAGCAGGCCTAAGAAAAACTCACTGCCTAACCCATTCCATAAATAGAAATTAAAGGTGATTATAACTCTGAATACTTCCAATGATGTGCACTGCTACTGGCAATCAATGCACACAAGTGAAGCTACTCTGCCCTGGAACACAGAGAGCAGAATGAAACCCCCATAATCCAAGGGGCAAAGGTCAGTGACCTGCTGCACCACTTCGACACACCCAACTCTATGGGGCCAGACGGGATCCACCCAAGGGGACTGAGGGATTGGGCAGCCACATTCCACCATTTATCAGCAGGGAGAGGTTCAAGGGATGTCAAGCATTGAACAGGCTGCCCAGGGAAGTGTTTGAGTCACTGTCCCTGGAGACATTTAAAAGACATGTAGATGTGGTGCTGAGGGACTCGGTTAGTGGTGGACCTGGCAGTGGTGGGTTAATGGCTGGACCTGATGATCTTAGAGCTCTTTTCCAACCTAAATGATTCTGTGATTATATGATTCTTGGACAAATGCAGAGGAGTTGGGGGAGGAAAACAGATCCCAACAGGCATATAACATGAGGAAGATGCTATTAAGTCTTCAGTTCAGTTCCAAGCTAAGAAATTGTACATTTCTAAAGTTTTCCACATGACAGTGAGAGCATGGCATGTCACTTCTGTGAGGCTTAGCTCTATTTTACTTTATTTGAGATGGATGAATGAATTCCAATTTCTTTACACTCACATACAAACTCTGTTAACTTGGACAGAAATTTGTGCAGTAAGAGGGATGAGTAATTTTTTTGGGTAATTTTCAGCATCCTCCATATCATTTAAAAAACAAGTTAATGTTACGACTGGATTTCACTAACCAGGTGTGACAGATAACCATGACACACTGAGGGCTGGGAAGAATCAGTGATTAATGTGGAAACAATTCAATTACTGAAAAATTATGTAGTCCCTCCACAACATGCCATTCCAGCCTACCAAACAATGGGAAGTCAAGAGTGATTAAGAGCAGCATTATTAAGATCAAACTTAATTATTTCATATTATTTGTCTTTTAACAGAGTTTCAAACCAGATTTTTTAATTGTTACACAGAACAAGAGGTGATTCCTGGGCTAACACCGACAAGCACAGGGCAAGTGATGGAGGTATGTGCTGTCTCCTCCAGCACAGGACACAATGTGAGCCATGCTGGGCAGTGTTAATGGAGGGGCATGAGGCTAAGCAGCCTCTGCTCTGAATTCATGCCTAGATTTGTGTGTGCTCCTTTCTGACAACCTGGAGAACTGTGGGTAACATTGCTGAGAGCAAGGTCCTAGTCCAAGAAAGATTTCATTCACAGGCTAAAGCAGGAGATTTGTCCTTTTTTACTTCATCCAGTGCACACATAAAACAAACACAGGCCAAAGACTTTCCACTGGGATTTATGTCAGCAAAGTGACTGTCACCAGGATGAACACTCACGAACCAAATGCAGTCACACACAGGGCACTGGCTCAGATTATTACAACCTGCCAAGGAGCAGAAGGGAGGTACTGGTTCCTCTTCAGCCACAAATTAATGACACTCACTTTATAAATGGGGTTTACTAATTCCTTTGTAAAAAGAAAATCTTTAATGACCACAAAACCAAAGCACTTTCCATCCATACCTGGCCTGGGAATGGTGGGCGATTTCCTGTCCAGGCCACCTGGCTCTGGTTGAGCTGGCGAGAGATCTGCGTCAGGTTCTGGCCTGTGGATGAAGACGACTGGATATCATTCACACCAGGCACGTGTACCACAGATGAACTGAGGGAACAGAAACAGTGTCTCATTCGTAGGACATATCCTCAGTGCACAAATTGTATGCCAGATATGGAAACGGTGACAATAACATTCAAACTAATGATTCAATCTGTCTTGATAAAAAAACGATCCAAAGCCATCACCAAATTCTGAAACATATTGGCATTCTAAAATGTCAGTTCACATAGACACAGCAGGCAAAATTATTTTGAATTAGTCTTCAATAATCTCTTTGAAAGGGCTTCTAAGAACACAATCAGACTCACACATGGTTCACAAACACTTAGCTCTGTACTAATTTAACACTGAATGCATTAATAAAACCTGCTTGCAAGAGCATTCAAGCAGGTACTTCACTGTAAATTTGTACTTACAAGTCAACACTATTTAAACATTTGCTTAAATGCCATTCTAAATGAAGATAGTCACAAAGATGATACTTATAAGTACTTCATTTGTTTCCTGCCTGGGAAATGAAGAAGTGTGTGCTATATACTAAAAATCTGAGCTTTTACTTCCTTTTCTCACCAACTGACACTAAAGCAAAGCATATGGCTATATACCCAGGCAAAAGAATAATCAAGATAGAACTAATGAAATAACTTTGCAAAAGCAGTAATAGAAGAGTATTTCAAGAGGAACTTGTTCATATGTTAGCTGTTTCCTAATTATTTAATTTCACTACAGAGAAATTCCCAGAAATTCCTAATTAGAAGGAAAATTGCTCCACTTTACCATTTATTCTCATGGAAGTCTGGAACGACTGAATCTAAACAACCACACATTGTGAATATGCTTTTATATACTTTTGTATGTAAAAATAGATATTTAATATTTTATGTGTCATATATAAATGAATATAAATGAAGATACAACATAAAAAAAACCTTTGTTCATCCACTGAAACAGCTTGTTCTTTTCTCCAGTCCCTTCCCTATTGTCTGTTTTCACAATCTTACAGAGAAAGAAGAGAGCAGATTGAGAAAAGAAGTAAACAAGGCTGAGCGGAGAGCAGGCAGGAATCTGGATCCTCGGAGCAGGCTGACAAAAGAGTGCAAGCAAAACGTGGCAGGCATTTGGATATGGGAGTTGTTGTTCTGGCTTTCTTAAGCTGCCTAAAAGCAAGCTCTGTTTAGAAATTCTTCATAGAGTTTTTCTAGTTTGTTTTTTTTTTTTTAATTGTTATTTTTTTTACTACCACAGAGTCTCCAAAGAGGGAAACATAGACCAGGAAGTCCATCTAAATCTGGCTGAGGCACACAGCAGCTGCTGGGGAGGGCTGGTCCTACTGCCAACACCTTCTCAGCTGGATTGGCAAGTCTCATCATCTAAGGAGCTTGGACTGTATCTGGAATATGCACTTTGAAACCAGGATACTGCAAAATAGTGCCTAGAGGCTGCTGAGCTCAGAAAGGGAATGGGCCAGGCTGAAGAATGTTCAAGGAGGACAGCTCATGGAGGGTGGAAATGCTGGCAGAAATGCAAGCCATTCCTTGATGTAATAGAATAGCAGTAGGTAAAATGCTATAGTTAAACACCAGGAATTAACAAAGGAAACAAATGAAACACATGCCAAACCCCAAGATGGCAATTCAACCATCCACTAATATATAAGATCCAACTAAAAGATATTTTAGTTTACTGTCATATCCCCCCCCCGTTATTCTTGGTTTTAATTTGACAAAACGCACGCACAGGGATTTTATTTCTCCCCACTGAGATTATTAGCAATTAGAGCTTTAAGAACACATTGGTTTAAACAAAATCAGCGTTTGCAGATGTTTTCCAGTTCCTGGAACTGACAGGCTCTGAATGGCTGTTCCTTCACTTTCACAACCTTCATTGGTTTGAAGAAGAGAATGGAACTCCAGCATGACAGTCCCAGAGCAGTGATATGAAAGTCACTAGGGTAAATACAGTTGTGGTTAGCACACTCTCAAAAAGTGACTGGAAAGCAAATGCTTAAACTTCAGATCAGCCAAACCTGTACAGCCAGCTGGAAGGCAATGACACACACCTTGACTAACTCAAAAACAGAGCAGAACAAAGTTCATTCATGTAAAGAAAGCCCTTCCACCTTAGGTTGGTTTTGTTTCCATCACATTGAAGGGGAACATTCCTCCAGTCTCAGACAGAAACTGATACATTCAGGATCTGGACTAAGTACCTGAAAGTCTTTCCCGAGTGTCCTGGCTGAAATGGGCTTCCCTGTGAGTAAAGCTGCTGGTTTCCTGCTGTGGATGCTGAGGCCATCATTTTTTTATCTGCTACAAAAGATATCACAGAAAGAGAAAAATTTAGGGGATGAGAAAACGAAGGCAAAATTATTTAAAGAGCATTGCAGCGTACGTAGGCAGCAGGGAGTTTTCTGTCCTCCTTAAAGCTTTCTGAAGAACCCTGTGGAACACATTAGGAATGACACAAAAGGGCTGTATGACAGCGCAGTGTGAAATGGGAGGCACAGCTGGTTTGTATCTTCTTTGTACCCTCCTCACAGGCCATACCTCATCAACACCATTGTTTGCATGGAACACAGTGCTGGTACGTGCCCTCCAGCCACACAGCCTGGACCCACTGCAAACTGGGAGCTGCTCCTGACCACGCAGGCAGGAGAGGGAATGCGAGACCGAGCACGGCTCCGGCCGTGGTGGGCAGTGAGGGGTGTGTGGGTCCCAGCTACAGGCTGGAAAGGGAAACAGGTTTTCTGGAAGAAAGCTGTAAGAGTCCACCCATGGGGATAGCGGAATACCACATGAAACAAGCCCGGTCTGAAGAAGGTCTGATGCACTTGCACCTCTGTGGCTATGTGGGGGTGGTCTCAGGTGAGGGTGTGTTTCTGGCACTGAAATCCTCCAGGCTGTCAAAGAGCTCCTCTCCTGTCCAGCTGACAGCCTGTGTCCCTCAGGACAGCCAGAGAGGAGCACCCAGCCCCCAGCCTGGTGGCATGCCTGGAACCTCAGGGTGGCCACCAGTGGAACTGGGTGATCCTGCAGCCCCTGCCTGGATGGACCTCAGTCTCACAGGTGGCCAGAGGCTCTTTGCTCCTGACTGTCACACAACTTGCACACCTGAGCTGTGCAAGGCAAACACTGGTCTCTCACGGACTTTGCTGTCCTATATGTGGCTTGAGGGAGCCATGAAACAGGATATAAGCATCCCAGTGGGGTGTAAGACAAATTAGTGTAGCGAATAACACACGTGGAGATGCCATTAACTTTTATAGTCTATTCTTATGTGTCAACTGGAGATCAACATCTAATTGAATGAAACGAGACTGGGTGAACAGAGCCATTTGGCCCCTTAATTTAATTTTCTGGCACTGGATTATTCTGAAGCCCAGGGTAATCTCACTACTACTACTTTACTTAAGATAATTTATAGGTCTGCTCCACCACCTTTTATTCACTTTCCACATCTTCCCTCCAAGAGTAGTACACCCTGCAACTTCTGATGGCTTTGCAGCCATTTGTTGCTATGTACCTGACAAGTCTAGAAATCAAGTCTGCCTCCTCATTTCCCCCTTTGCTCTTTTCAGATTCCCACTCGTTTCACAAGATGCTCTCCTGGACAAAAAGCCCACTCAACTCCCAAGTAACAGAAGTATTTTTTATATTTTTTCCCTAGCTTTTAGAGACCTTCTGAGTGTGACTCACCAAAGGCTTCCAACACACACCAGCTCTTCTCTGTTACCTAATTTCTTCTTAGGTTATGTTCCTAACAAGAATGTAAACTTGCTTCCCCAAAGGAAAATGTCACCTCAAATTACCTCACAGGAGCCTTGGAGAGGAAGTGTATATACCACTGATGCAAACTGCCATTGCTTTTCCTCTGTAATGTAGAAATTTCTAGAAGCTCCTCACTGGCTACATATTGCCCAGTGCAGACACTGAGTCTGGGCTGCAAACCTATGCTCTCACATTAAAAAAACCCAGGGAGAAATGGGGACAAGGTCTAGAGAAGGTTGCATGTGTAGCAGGAAGAATTGAGAATGGGTTGGGATATCTCTGAGAAGAAGGACAGATGACTTTGCCTTTTTCTGCAGTAATATCATTCTTGCATGAGATGTCCCATTTCTAAGGCCACCCTTCACAGGCACACCAAACTCTCAGGGCTGGAAGAAACTGAGCCAAAATCCTGTGGGTACTTTAGATATTTGAGAACAACTCACCAGCAAAATTGAGAGTGCCCTAAATGAACTGGAATTCCTCAAGTGGAGCAGAGTTGCCATGGCAGCTACCAGGGACTGTGCCACAGGATGAGGCCAAGACAAAGAGAACAGCTAAACTAATCGCAAGCAGCTAATTCTCCTTCCTGATTTACCCTGAATGCTCTTTAGCCTCTGAATCTGGCTCACATCTCTCCCAGCTGTATTCCTACCCAGGACTTTACACAATTCTCTGCTCTCACCTTTGGTACAGCACAGAAAATGTGGGGAGGTTTTGGTGTGTTTTACCTGTTTCTCTCTAAACTGCACCACTGTACTGGTCCATGATGCCCCTTCTCCCAGCAGGACCTGTGCTTCTGCCTCTAGAATGAATATCTCTCTAAGAACTGCATCATCCTGTGCTTCAAGGCACAAATTAGTAAAGCCTGGTTTCCCCTCCCAACTTTTGTTTTTGTAATTATGTGTGGCCACTACATGTAAATATGGCACCAACCTCCCTATATAAACCCATGTTTCTACAGAATGCAGCAGAGAACGAGATCAGGTATCAACACAATGCAAATGTCTCTCAGGCAGCATGCAGGGTTGTCAATATTGGTTTTGGACAGGGTATCTCATTTCTGACTGTGAACCATCTCTTTCCATCATTCAGAGGAGACCTTGATCACAGCTCCCATGAGAAATTCAGACAGGCAGAATGTCCCAAAAAAAGCACAGCCTGTAAATTGATAAGAATGAAAAGAGAAATGGCATTTCCAAGAACACAACCTCCCAGCTACCTCACAGCTTGCTACACCCTTAACCCTAACCCCTCCCCACAAACAGTTGAGAGCTGCTTGAAAAAGAGCCAATAAGGCTGCCAAAAAGCAAGATGTTCTTGCTTGGAAAAACATCTTCTGGTGTTTATGGTTGGAGTCTTGCTACCTTCTAATAGACCCCTTTTATGGCCTCAGCTGTTGACTTCATTGTTAGAGCAGACAGACAAGGATGAGCAGGAATAAGAGAGAAGTCCTAGAAATAGGACAGAATATCAAGTCTATCCTGCAGTTACAATGCCTTTGCCATTCGAAAAGGCCAAGCCAGACATAAGACACCAACACAGTGAGGTCATCTCCCAACACCCCTGGAGTCCAACCCTGTGGGTCGTTTCCTTCATGCACTGCTTGACACTTGCACATTGATTTATTTAAAACAAATGTAAAAATTTCTCTTTTTCAGCGAGGACAGTTAAGAACAATAAACAATCAACGAGTTCTTCCACAAGTAGTGGAATTAACGAGCCTGGTTTCCTACAGATATACTTCTGATGACCTCTTCAGCTGTCACTCTTCTCAATGACTTCTGTCTGTTACAGCAGCAGACAGCACAGGCTGGGCCTAGTTTGAGTCAGGTACATCTCTGAAGTTGGTCTGTCACCTCTTAGAACAGGGCTGGGAAATCCTTAGGTGAGGGCACTCAGTAAGGACTCTGTCCTCACAGTAGTTTTCAAGAAATATAGAACAACATAAAGTTTCTGAGACTTCTATTACTCTTGTAAGAACCTGACAAGTTCAAAAGTTGTGGGACAAAGAGCAAGGACTCACCAACAGATGGCATGACTGGAGATGCCACAACTGACCAGGAAACAAGTATATCATTACACCTCAAGGCAGCATATGCCTCTGAAAGCATCGATACAAGAGCTGGTGATCTGAAAAACAACTGCAGGCCTATCTTATGACTACATGGTAACTTTCTTAATCCACCCCTGTTTAGAGAGATGAACTCACATCTGCTGTTTAAGAAAGAAAATCAAGTTCTGCTCAGTATGTTTAATATCTACAAATGCTGCTTAAGGTGCCTCTGTGAAATGAAAAGAAAATCAAAAGTAGGTATCTTTCATGGCAAAAACCCACTGTCCTTCCCTCCTTGAAATTACTCCACATCATTTTTAGGGGAAACACCAACTTTAGGCAAATGCGAAGAAATGTCCCAAAGACTGATGTTGCTTGGAAGTTCCTCTGCCACGTTGTGGTTTCTGTTCATTCTCCTGAAGCTGTGCTGCATGTCATGTAGCCAAGCTTAACACAGTATTAAAAATTAAACATCAGAGATATTCACTTACAAGCAGTTATTCCAGCAAACATCTCAGCAAATCTAGGATCTCTCTCTTGGGAGAAGATAGCATCAGGCTTTTCCACTGACTTTCCACCCTCATGAACATTAGCTGGTATACTTGGAACAGGCACCTGTTGAGATATACAGAGAAAGGTAATTCCTTCCATCCTATTTGATGAAAAGGAATTCAGTGAGAGTCACAAAGTACTTTTAGTTTCGCTGAAATCTGTCGTTGCTTCACATTTTAAAAGATCAGAAGCACGAAAAGAAAAACATGGGAAATTTTACCTGAGACAAGTCGTAGGATGACAGCCCATCTCTTTGATGTACCTCGAGTTCTGCTTGCTGTTGCTGAAGTTGTCTACAAGGGAAACAAAATGACTTTGTTACAAAACCCAATCAAGATACAAAAAGGAACAGTCACGGTCTCCTGTTTTACACTCCCGGTGAAATGTCTCAGGTGATTTAGTAAATCCTTTCCTGTGAGATTCATCTGTTTTCACAGCTTTCTGACTGAGAAAGCCTTGCACCACAGGAATGCAACAGGGCACAGGAAGAATTTTGCTGTGATAGCACAGAAATGTAGGTGGTAAGTAATGGGGGATGGAACACAATCTCCTTAGAAAGGATTTAAGAATTCGCTGTTCTTCATTAACTCTTCGCCTTCCTCACGTTAATGATGAATATACCAGATCCCTCCTCTGATCCTGCTGAGGTAAACAGGAAACCACCAGTGACACTGACACAGAATTACACCAGTCAATACGAAAAGTGATCAAGGCACGAGAGACCAGATGGAACAACCTGTTGAGCTACAAATAACTGCATATAAATCCTTCTTTGTAATCAAACCTATTTAACATGCTTTGGTTCTACTTTCCTCAAGATCCAAGTCCACATTCCCTTCAGTTTTTCAGAGTATTTAAGGCAGTGCATGTCCAGAAATATATTGCTTGTGCTACTATATAAAACCAACATTACATAAAATCAATTTGTGTTGACAAATACTACAGAATATACAAGTCTCCTTTTCATGCCAATCAGAACAAACCAGAAAATATCTATTGTTTAAATGAGATAAAAATCACAGGAAGGAATAGCCTTAATCAAATGATATGAATTTAGGAAAAAATTAAATGTGCAGCAGAAATAGAAAAGTACTTCAAAAGGATCTGCCAGAGACAATAAATGCTCAGGGACATATGCCAGGATGAAGGACTCCAGTGTTGGAAACTCTGCAAATCCTTGAAATGCACTTGACTTGTGTTTAGTATCAGGTGCTGTTATTTAACTATGACAAATAACCAATATCAACAGAGAAAACCATAGAAATAATGAGAACCAGCAGACAGGTGCACCTGAGGTAAGTCAGGCATATTCACCTTCTGCATCTGCAAATATTGCCTAGTTATAAAAACGTACAGGTCATCTATACAGTTGCATAGTGATCTTCTGAACCCACTTCTTCACTTGCCTTTTTCAAATCTGAAAGGACACAAAGCCAAACCTCCTCATTTAAAAAAATAAGCTGAGGCAGTTACATTAACTGTTGCCATTGAAAATTTTGAAGTTACTACAAGAAAACAATTTCTACAGAAGAAGCCACAGTACAGTACAGTGTATCAGAAATAAACCCCAATTCTTTTGCAATGAAATGCAAAAGTGCTCCTGATGCATCAAGTTAAAACATGAACTTATGTTTTCTTGCTCAACTCACACCATCCTTACACTGGGTTATTAGAACCTCACCTGTCTGAGTGTGGGTTTGTGTGACTGTTTGCAGCCAGCCAAACTGCCTTCTGCTAGCCTTATGGTGCAAGAACACAAACACAGGCAATCACTTTTGTCCTAGGAACAACATGCAAAAAAATCTGTCCTCCAGGTCATTAGAGAGCTATGGATTTTCCATATTATTTTAGCCAACAGAAAATTCCTAAAAATTACCTCTGGAATGCAAAGACATTCTTTGTTCACAAGCATAAAATACATACTTTTCCAGCAGAACTATGGGAGGTAATTTAATCATGGGGAATCTATGGGGAAGTTTCTAAATACCACCCCGTGGACAATAAACACCCATTAAATCCCGTTGTTAATGTGAAAGCTAATTACACTGTTTCATTTATTTTTATTACCACCGACTTGGTGCGTGTGTCAATAAACAGCACATTAGGTCTCTTCTGTTCCTTACAAAGTATGTTTTCTTGATTCAACCATATACATACAAATGAGCCAAACCAAACAGCACATTTACTAGTTATTTGTTTTGTAGGCACTTCTCTAACTTAGTGCTCCTTGGCCCTTCTCTATCTTTCATCTCTAATACTCATTAAGCTGCAGTACAATATAAACACCACATTATTGTTAACAGCAGTGAACTTAGGGAACAACCTCCCAAATCCATTTCCTCTAAACACCAAACACTGGTGTGTTTCTTTACTGAACTCTGTGCAAGCTCTGCTTCACTTAATTAAGATTGAAATGCAAAGCCAGGATAGCATCTTCTGCTGTTGTTGGCTGCTACTGTATAAATAGTTTAAATGATTCTTGAAACCTGAGAGAAACAGTGCAGCAATTCATGGAGCAGCTGACCAGGGAGAGCTGAGCACTGCTGCTGTGGCTGCTTCAGACCTGCCATCCCACCAGCCCTTTAGACTCAACAGTCAACACATGCAGGTTCCTCCAGTCACCCAACTGCTGGACAGGTTTTGTATAAGTGATACAGAACAAGGATTATTACCAGTTTCGGCAAAATGCAAAGTGTCTTCACACTTTGAAACCAAACCCCAAACTGTCCTTAGTTTTCATTTCAGTTTCACAAAATGAAAGAGAAATTTCCTCACTCTACAGATACCAAATGCATCAAGTGAGCTATTATCTGAGTCAACAGGGGACTCTGCCTGTACTGCAGGAACTCCTGGCTCACCCATAAGTTTGGTGTGAAACTGGGAAAACCCTTGGCTTGTACAAGAAATGGTTTGGCAAATCTGAAGACTTTGACAGTTAATGCAAATTTACCTCATAAATGTATGTGGAGGAAAAGGGAAGATTCTGTGAAAGTTCCTTTGACATTGGAGATGATTTTAGATTAATTAACCTCTACAAACACCAAAGTCACTGATTCTCTTTCCAGACATCCAAGTAACCAAAAAAAGGATGTGAACTTTGAAATGACAGACTCTATGGTGGGAGAGAAGCGATACTACTGCACCCCTACTAAGCTGTTTCTGTAGACCCACGTGCTGCCTGTGCTTGCTTTGGACAAAAGGGCAGTAGTAAAGCCTTGAGGCTGCTGTTCTAAAATCCTCTTTCAAAAATTCTCAGTATTTTCCTCTTTTAGCCTACAGCTTCAACTCACCCCCGTGACAGGGTCTAACACTGGGATCAGAGAGCCCATAGATAGCATGAGATCCTGAGAAACAGAGTCTTTACCACCAGTACCACAGAGTAGAATTTTATCAGAATAGTTGATCTCTAAAGTATTTTGGCCCAGGAGAATCTGAAACAGAAAGCATCTCTCCCACAAGCATGGGCTGATTCACCCATCAGGCAGCCTGCAGCAGCCACCAGTGCCAGCTCACTCTGAGGCATAAAGTCTTGAGACTCAGGACAACTGTAGAATTCATAAATTCACACGGTGCAACATAGGACTTTGGGGCTTACAAAAGTGAAACATCAGAATTTCCATCAAGGTCAGAAAAAATATAAAGAAATAAAAATAAAAAGAGACATAAAACCTTTGTATAATCTGTCATCACAACCTCATTTCAATTCCAACACTGCTCTACCTGTATATTAAATAAACATTGATCACAATTATTATTTCTTTTTGGAAATCAAACAGTCCCAACTACACAGGAAGACATGGTCAAACGGAGAACTCTTCTTTTTGGCCTAACACAGCACAAATGCCAAATGTTAAATGCTTCATTTCTCCAGGAAGTTTCTCTTGGATGACTACACCCAAGTGAAACTGAGAGAAGTTTTCTTTTCTTTTTCTTTTTTTTTTTTTTTTTTTTGCAAAGAACTAAGTGAACATTTGAACCTAATGTTTCCTTATCCTTCTGTACCAAAAGCAAGTTTGGAAGGTTGACTGAAGGTCCAAAGGAACATCTTTATTTAAAAAAAAAAAAAAAAGAAAAGGAAAAAAAAGGAAACAAAACAAAACAACCAAGTCAACAAATAATAAAAATCAATTAATCCCTCCACGACTGGAACCACCACTGCCCTCTACAGTCTGCTGGGAAAATGCTGTTCACTGACCAACTGAAGAGCTGTTGTGTTACCAGACACTGTGACTCTAAACTACCCTAAGTTAAAACCTGATTTAACCTAGGTCTTTTGGCTACATAGTCTTTACAATTCCATTTGAATTTTTAACTTCCTCAAGCCTGTATTTTATGGAGCTGCCTAGGTCATCACAGAAATAGGCAAATCAAAACCTGTCTCTGTGCAGAACTGCCTTGGTCTCCATGGGAAGCACCTTGCTGGACCCAGAGCATCTAACACTTCCACCGACACGCAGGGATGGCCAAGCACACTGGGGTCAGTGCTGAACCACCAGTCCCAGCAGGAGCTTAAGGAGGAGGAGGAAATCACCAGTTACCATGACGTACAACTCCCCAAGGCAGCTAGGAAATCAGAAGTCAAAACATGACCCCAAATGTGAAAAAAAAACCAAAAACCCAACAAAAAACCAGAAACAGGCAGGAACAGCAGTACTTTACAGTAAGTCCTCTTTGGAAATCTGTCTGAGAGCTGGGAGAGGACAGAGAGAAAAACAGAAAACAGTTTGAATAATGCATTCTTTCTACTATTCAAAAGCAGACGTATAATGGGTTGTATCTTGCCCATTTCAGAACATTTTCAACATGACAGGAAAGAGGGAACATCCTCTATCAAAGTAGCAGCAGGCAACTTCCATATTAGGTCAGCATTTCTGGGTTGTTATTCAAACCTAGCAAGAGAGATGGAACCAGAGCCAGGAGCTGGCACAGTGCTATTCATCGCAGTGAGTGCTGCGGTGCCAAGCTGAACAGTATAGTGCAGGCTCAGAAAAAAACATTCCCAGAGTCAACACAACGTAAGCTCCAGCACCACTTTTTCATCTGTGGACTCTTGGGAACAAAGCACAATTAAGTCAGCCTGGGACAAATCTCTGAAGTTGCTTTTTATTTTGCAGGCCTGGTTTTGCATATATAAATCATTTGGAAAAGTAATATGTGACAGCAGAAATGTGGAAATATCTATTTTGATGCACAGTGCAGACAGGGAGATATTTAGCTGTCTGCTTTCAAGACACATTTGCCTGTTTTCAATGAGCTTAACTATTCAGTAGTTTAAGCCTGACGTTTTGGGCACGCAGGAAAAAAAGGAGCAGAACAGTTGTGATGTTGGGCTTCACGTAAGTGAATGCACAGCCCTTCCTGTCCAGGTATGTGCCATGACCAAAGGAACAAGACAAGGAACACCCAGAGGCACTGATTAGCTTTCCAAGTTCAAATGCCCAAACCCCAGGGGTTTGGTTTTGCAGTGGAGCTCTCAGCAGGCATCTCCACTAGCAGACTGCTCGTTCAGCATTTCCGATATACAGTCTAACAGGCTGAGATCTTAAAACCAATAATTTCCTCTCAGCTAAAAACTTGGCAAAATATCTTTGGTCAGACCAGAAGCAGATTTAGTTTTAGGAATAGACTAAGTTTATATTGGAAAGAAGAAGCATTTATTAAAAAAAACCCCACAGCATGAAGCAATCGAGGCCAGATTAACTTCTGCAGTTACTGGTTGAGAACTCAGGAGGCTCCAAAAGCTTCTCTGCTCAGTTCAACAGTGACAAACCTCCACCATACTTTGAGGGTGACCTCCTCCTAAGAGGCCAAATGACAGATTTTAAAAAAATATTAATAATTCAAAGATAGGATGATTTAATTTCCCTCTTAAGATAAGGTGTTGCATCTCTGCCCATACTTGGGGATATTCCACCAGATCTAAACTGAGTATCAGAAACTTTCCCACTCAAGCCTACTAGGAAATCATTTTGCCAGCTTCATTAGGTCATAAGAGGAGACACAGCTCAAGCAGATGATGTTCAGGACTACAGAAATGTATGATCACAATGAACATGGACACGGAATTTTCTTTTGGCTTAGGAATCAGGCTAACCTTCCTCCAGTATCAGGACAGCTGTTCTGCTGCTGGAAGCTCTGTGCTAGTTTAAGGCAGCCTGGACCAAGATCAATGGACTTGTCTAATGACATAACAGATAAGTGACGACTCCCTCCCAGCGCAGCCAGGCCCTGGAAGCATCACAGGGTAATGACACAGAGAAACAACTTCACTGAGAGATCTTCTGATGCAGAAAACCTTGTTACAGACTGCACTGTTACAGAGCAACACAGGCAGCTAGGAACAGGCTACCAAAAAATAGATATGTGCTTTACAGCAAAGAGTAACGCTTAAATTTCTTCCAAAACTACATACATGAGCCCCTGGAAAGGCACATACATACTTTACGTTAGTGTTGGTGCAGATGATGTATTCAATCTCATCGGAATAAGGATTCTGAAATGTGAAGCTGCTGGTCCTGATCAGCATCCATTCCCGGTTTTTGGTACGAAAACGATACATCACAGACAAGACTTGACCTTTCAGTTTCACCACCTGCAAAGACATTTGGAAAGGTTAATAAGAGGAGATTGCTACGTGCTGTGCAAATGAATAGCAAACAGCAGCAACTGGTGTGTTTGAATTACAGAAAACTATGGACATGGCAGAGAAATTCTTAATTGGGGGAGAATAAACAAAATCTGATTCATGTTTACAGCTATTTCCTTCAGAATGAAATCCTCATCCTTTGTCCTGTAAAATGCCATTTTCCATCCAGCCTATAAAAAGAATACAGATTCAGGACAATCATCAGGGTTTTTTTCCTGTTATCCCTTTTCCCTGTTATCCCAAAAGGGAAGCTTTAATATTTTAATGTGAACCATTTATCAAGAGATTGACAGAAACCAAACTGAGGATCTTTTAAATGTTTATACGTAAACCATTAACCAATCACTGAGGCTAAAACAAAAGCCCACAAGAAACAGCATTTTGAGGTTGACTGTCTGCTTTTCTGCTTGGATACCTAGCTACACAATTCATATATGTGATACACCAAATTACATATCAGCATCAAAATTCAGGACAACATTTGAACATAATAGTGTTTATTTATTTAGAAACCATAAGGGGTTGGGGTTTTCCCTCTCAAACATGTTATAAGACTCCCTAGAATGGCAAAGTGCTAACAAGAAACACTTGCCTCTGGCTTTCAAAAGAAGGAAGAGTGAGCCAGTGTTTGAACGGAGAGAACACAGATAAGCTGCTGTTCATTTTAATAGTATTAATGAAAACAGAGAGCAAACTCTTTGCTTGGACAGCCTATTTGTTTGCAACTAAGGATTCAGATGTCTGGCAACATTCAGTTCAATTTCTGGGTTTCGTAGCTGAAGTTTTGTTCAAGTCAACAGTTGGGCACCAAGTGAGAATTAAGCAGGAGCCAACGATGCTCAAAGCAATCCTCACACACTGGCCCTGTAACTGCATTTCATGTGTTATCCAACAATCTTGGTTTAAGCCAGAAGAAAAGTTACATGGGTTTAAGTCATTCAGCTGGCACTTAACAGGCCTATCTCTGTTTGGTTTATTGCTTTTCCACCAAGCTATCTCAGGGGTGCCTCAGGGAAGGAAAGGTCTACTGCAAATAAATCCCACATCTTGTTGTGGATTCCTAATCCTTACCCACTGGAATTTACTTTTTATTAGCCATCTGCAGCCTGTGTTGTCTAAAAGTAGAAACCACACTATTTCCCCCTTGTCTTCACTGACAAGCAATCGAATTAAGAAAAATGCTCCAATCCCGTGTTTTCCAAAGGTTTGCACTTCAAACTGATCAACTGGATACAAGACTAAATGAAAAGAATGCAAATAGAAGACACAAAAAGCAAAGCCCAGAAGAGTTCAAAATCATACTGGAGTAAATGCCTTTTGGTTGGTTTTGCTGAGGTTTTTTAATGCTTTTGTAGTTTGAGTTCAGTGAGTGACACTTTTATCAGCAATTTTCTACCACCACACCCAGGGTAAAAACCACAGAGCTGGTGTCAAAGTGTGCAATCCCAACAGCATTCTACTGGGTATCCAATAGCTGTATTCTGGACCCTTTGATACTAAACTTTATTTGTTGATCTTGGCATTGAGACTATCGTATTCTGGCCTGATTTTTCCCACCCTGATGAATGAATTTATCTTCCCAAGGAAGTAAAAGCTTTGAGATAGATGCTGGCAGTTCACCAAAATCTGCAAAACCCTCCCTCCCTTCTCTGTTATGCACCAACCTGGTTCTGATACTGTCAGCAAATTAGAAGTGTCAAGTTTTCAGTGGGTTTTAGAAAAAAAAAAAGAAGAGTTTATTTGGAATCACAGCTCCCTTTTAAATTAAGATATTTCTAAGGCCAAACTAACAATAATAAAACAAACTGAAGTGATCTGTTGTCCTGAAGTCTCAATTAAGCAAACACTAATTCTGTAATAATATATAAAGCATAGAGATCACTGGTGAGAAAACCCTGAACTGTCCTAAAACAGTGCACGCAAACAAGATAGCACAAAAAAATTCAAAATTAATGTTTAATCTTTACTCTCTTACATTCTTTGGAAATAAAAACCACCTGGTGCAAAGTTTAACTGTTTACTTCAGTCTTTTATTGCACTATTGGAATAACAGTCCAAATCACACTGCTACTGTACTGAACAAAAATATACTGAAGAAGGTATTGCCCACTAAAGAAACAGCACAGTATTTTCATAGATTGGTTGAGTGAACAGAAACTTTCACTTCTAATCTGTGGGTTTTTGTCCTGCTGTCTTTTTTTATGACCTTAAGCAAATCATGTAGGTTCCTGTGATCCAGCAAAGCACTTAGGCACTTGTCTGCTAGTGAGTAGTGACAGTGAAGTCCCCAGCAAGTGAGTTCAGGGACATACTGGCAGCCTCCCATGGCCTGATCTCACTTCCAGCGAACACAGTGCAGCCCAAGTCATTAACTTGAATGTTAGTTAGTCAGCCCTGCTGAGCCCCAGGCAATCACTTCAGAGATGGATGTTGGGCGTGTTATTATCCAGCAGCTCTCTGTCACTGTCTCCTGGATAGATTAGTGGAATCAATCATTTGGGCACCACTGAAAAACAGCATATGTGTTCTCACTGCTCCCGCGCCGCTGATGCGATCAGGCACCAGTTCAGGGAGCTGAACCAGCTGAAAGCCAGTTCCATGCAAAAGCAATTAGTCTCTTAGCCTACCCAGCAAGTCCATCTGTGCCAGCATCAGGGCAGCAGGCAGGACAGGGAGGAGGTCAGAGAAGAGAGAAGAGGAGGAGCAGGACCTGACTCCTGGTGACAGTCACCCATCGGGTGGATTGAGCTGCAGCATCACACTCCCAGCCAAGGTGGGGCAGAGATGTCTGGGTGTGGTGACCTATTTCAAGCATTGAACTCTCACAGGCTTCAGCCTCTGAATCAACATCTTGAATTTCAGCAGCCTTTAGCTGCTGTTTGAACTCAGTCTGTGCAAGGGACAGATGTAGTGGCTCACACAGTCAGCCATTGGGCTGGTGCTCCCCCCTGGAAGGAGAGGATGGTGAGAAACACCTCAGGAGTACTGATGCCTTCCACTGTCTCCAACACTTCTGTCTAGACCATAACCTCAGTTTTACTGGTCTGAGGACACAGAACAGCATTTCGTTTTCCCTAGAAAGGCTTTTCAAGTTCTGTATTTGCATGTCATGCCTGAATAAATAGTTGCCTGTATGAATTATTCAGAAGTCACTTCAAATCTGCATTTCACAGCTGAAAATAGATCTCAGCATCCAACATGAGAAGGATCAACACAACTTGGTTGAGCTCTAGGCTGTTGTCAGAAAATCTGGAAACATTCAGATTCAGGAGCTGCAGCAGTCAGTTAAACATCCTGTGCTGTGTGTTTAGTGCAGTAGGGAAGGCACTGAAAAGCCCAGCACCAAGCAGCAGCTTGGGGTAAGCACTGCTAATGTATGTCCCACACCAGCCAGAAACACTAAGCTCTACAATGGAACAAATGCCTTTGATATAGCTGATGGAAATGTGGCCCATGGGAAAAATGAATCCAAATCAGTAACTAAGTATAAATTGTATTTCCTTTGTTACTTCTCTCTACCTTTCAAATCCTAATAGAGAAAAGGGCCAAATTACTTGTTGATGCAAAGTCACGTAAGTCCATTAAACTATATGAAGCATATCATCTATGCTAGCAGAGAACTTGGGTTGCAAACAATCCAGTGTTACATAGGGATGGAACTACTTTCCAATCAACAGCTCATCTTGGAAGGTAAATCCTTTTGGTTACCACTTAACATAGTGGGATCAATACAGGCACCTCTGAAACAGCTCTAACTGTGCAGCAAACACTCAATTTTTGTAAAAAGAATATAAAATGCCTAACTAGATGACTTATTTCTGAAAATACTGTCAACACATGCTACACTTTAAACTACTATTTATGAAGCTTAATGGGATTACTACCTGATCAATAAATTGTTTTCTATCTTGCTACTCCTTCTCCTGTGTAACAGAAAAAATAGCTTGGAATGTAAAATCAAAGCTACTTCTGTGACCAAAATAGTAGCAAAACTATAAACAAACTGTGGAAGAAAAGGAGCAGGACACAGCACCTGTTGGAAACTCTCTCGCAAATGGCTTTGATCTTCAGGATGGCAGAATTCTAGAATATCTTTCCCCAGAAGATCCTAGAATAAAACATAAACCGTGAAAAAAAAAAAATCAAACCACAACACAAATCCACACACAGATCTGCAAGTAATCCTTGCAAACTAGTTCTACCACCCTTAATGGGACTACTCAGGTCACTGGGAATGAATCATACAAATGAGGTTTGTAGGCATCATGTCCCATGTTATATTTGTACTGTGGCACAGATATATGTATTTACAAAAAATTTTAAATAACCGTGAAGCAGTGTATTGAAGAGACTGACATCCTGTACTACAGCTCATTTTATGGCACTAATTTTTGCTAACATAATTATTATAAAGCTATCTAAAATCAAAATAAATTGAAAAACAAGTGAACGAGAAATTATTTTTGCCTCTAAATTGCAAATCCAAGGGAGAGTTGTGGTAATCAGCAGTTCATTTGCTATTCTGCTCAGTTCTGTACCAGCCTCCTGTTCAGAGGAGCAGATGTAAGCCCAAAGGAAAATAGATGCCATAAATGATGTTTGCTTACTGTTCAATAGATTGGCAGAAGTAAAGGTCTACAGGGCTCTACTAGACTGGAGACTAAACCTCCCTCCAACCAAGCACTGTTAACTTTCTATCACAGAATGTCTTCACTGGAAAGCTGTGCAAGGCTCAGAGCACCTTGCTGTGAGAATTCTAATCAGCTCTACAGGTATAAAGAGACACCCCCCATAGCAAAGGTGTAAACTGCACATTTTAGAGGTGCAGAGAGCAAAGAAAAATGAACAGCATTGAGTGCATGACATACGAATTATCAGCTACAAATATTTCATGTGTGCAAACAATTTTCTTCATTAGCTCTAACAAGTCTCCACATTCTCCGGGATCACTGACCTGGGGCTGGTAGCCAATGACACTGATGCACCTTGGGTCAACAAAGGTGATGACTCCATCAGAATTGTGCCTAGACAAGAACTCAGTGGGGACTGACATGCCATTCATGTCCATGCACACTGGAGAGCTGGTTACCTAGGATCAAGAAAGTCCACAGAACAGTCACCTTAAGTCAAATTTGACTACATAGCTTAAGAACAAAAACTGTTGGCAGATTGCTAACTAGAGATGAAGTTATAAATAAAACAACAGCACAGACAAATGACAGAACATCCTTTAGTCTAGTTTTCAGGGGAAGTATCTCACCCCACGGCATTCATCTAGTCTTAATAGCACAACAGGAAAACAATTACACCAGAAGTTTGCAAGAAGGAGGGATATAGTAAGGACATAAGTACAAGTAGATTTATCCCACTTTGTAGTACATTAGGCATCTTGGTTCCCACCTTTGTCAACCAAGAATGAGACTTGCAGAGGACAATGCAGTCTACCCATTTTAGGATGGGAAGGTCAATCTTTAGAAGAAGCCAACTCATTATCTGTAGACACACCCAACAGGACTGTGCAGACTAAACACTAATGTTTCAGGTGATATCAACCTCACCTGAAACACCCTCAGAACCTGAACGAAGTCCTCCAGAGGTTGAGGAAGGGGATAATAGGACAGAAAGTCACTGTTCATAGTGGAAAAACACAGTTGTTCTACAAATGTTCCTCAAACCTCACCAGAGAGAACGATGCATTACCAGCTCTCTGCCTGAAACCTGTGCAGTCAGGTCACTGCACATCCATTCTTTCCTACTGAAGCTATAAATGAGACCATTGGTTTTCTTAGCACTTCCAGATCATTCTCTGCTAACAAGGTCTCAATGCAAAATGAGGAAAATCTCTTTTTTGCTGTCCTGAAGCTGATTATCCCGTTAACCACATGCAAGATTTCAATTTGCTGTTACAGAACAGAGCCTTCAACTTGTGCACCTTGACTCCTCTGTGATTTAACCCACCCACAGAGCCTCCTCTTGCCCTCCCTCACATACCCTGATGGCTCTTCTAATGTAACAGATGTTTTGACACTCCACATGTTACTAATGTGATTTTCTTGGAAATAATCTTTTTTTTGACAGCTGTAACGTATGAATCCCCATAACTTCCTTCTCTCCGTTAGTGGAATATATTACTCTTGATTATGAAAGCATGATTAATCTAAAAACCATCCTGCAGTACTTCTGTAGCTCTGCCATGGCAATAGAGACCCACTCTGCAGAAGTGCTGACATGTGCAGACTGTTCACCTCAGGTAAGATGGGTTTGACACCTGTGCTGTAATGAAAGGTTCATTCCACCTTTTCAGGAGGAGCAATATCATCCCAGCAGATGGCAACGAGTGCAGACCAATGGCACATCATGCAAGAGGCTCAAACATGTTCACCCATGGCAGAATTCCCAGAGCAGGAATATAAAAATTAGCCTCCCTGCTGCAGTGAAGGAGATTCACCACAACTGCTCTAGCTCTCACTCTGAACTCTCGTCAGCGGTGAACAAAGGCAGAAAATGAAATACAACAATTGCAACTGTCTGGACAAAAAGGAAGTAAAATTTTCTTCTCCCAGTTCCTTCGGCTGACATCTCATCTGAATGCACAGCACAATACATGCTGAGAATAAAGCTATGATTTGTGAAGTGCCTCTTGACTACCTTATCTTTGCCATTCTCAGAATAACTCCTGCAATCACAGATTTTCAAGTAGTTGATTAGAGAGAGAGAGAGAGAAAGAGAGAGAGAGAAAGAGAGAGAGAGAAAGAGAGAGAGAGAAAGAGAGAGAGAGAAAGAGAGAGAGAGAAAGAGAGAGAGAGAAAGAGAGAGAGAGAAAGAGAGAGAGAGAAAGAGAGAGAGAGAAAGAGAGAGAGAGAAAGAGAGAGAGAGAAAGGAATGGAAAAACAGCAGAGAGCACACCACTGGCTTTGGGAGCCACTGTAACCCACTATCTGCAGACATGCTCATCTACAGGAGCTTCTTTCCTGATGTTACTGGATTAAGTCCACATGTGCACCAAAATCAGTTTTGTTTTGCTCTGTTGCCATGTTCTAAACAAGTCACTGGCTGCACACAGACATCAAGGCACTTTATACAGTGGAGGCATGTTAAAAGTCACAGTCTAGTGCCAAAACTCTGTGCAAATCTTTTACAACCAAACCACAACAGTGACTATCCTTTTGGAAGCAGTTTGAACAAGGAAAGACTGGCATTACCTGAAGCCTTCCTATTGCCACGAGGCAGTATTTACTGCCTTGTCCCACATCAGCATCTTCTTCTGGTATAGTCATTCCTAGAGCAAATGGTAATAAATACTATTACAAATAGGAAATTGAGATAAACACAGTTGCTGCTGACCTGGTTTTGTACTACTCTAGATGCTCTCAACCATACAAAACAACCTTATTTTCTTCTCTAGGTTTCAGTCATTTCTGGGCTCAGAGCAGATGATCTTTCTCAGTCGTGCCCAATCCTACACACCTCACGTGCATACCCAGTACCCACAGCAGCAATTTTGGCTGCTGAAGACAAAACAGATACAAAAATTCCATTATACACCGAGATGGACAGTTACATTTCCATGAGTCCTGCTCTGCAGCTTGTGAATGGAACTATGTGGTCACTTAACATGGTCAGTGAATGCACACTGTGTTCAGTTTTCTTTGTGAATAATATACTGTAATGAGCCTTAAAAACAAGGCACAGCCTAAATTAATCATTAATTTTGTGCTCGGATTTAACAGCTGGTTTTACTTTTTTCTATAATGGAGTAAATCTGTGTCATTACGTCCAAGGACTGAAAAAATGCGGATGCTTTGCTAACAGTTCTGGGTTCAGTTGTGTAACAGGAGTACCTACTATAAACACAGGAACAATGTCAAAACATACATGTGTACTGTTTTCCATCTCAGTGTTTCACAAATAGGAACATTCAGATTAACACTGTTTACTTGCTAGTTGGCTAAGCCTTTAGTTAAGGCTATTTCCCAACTCCAGTTTTGAGATACCAATTTCCTATGAGGCACTTGAAAAAACATCTTCCAAGAGTGACACCACTGATTTTAAGTGACTTGCAAACTCTTTCACAAGGCTTTTCAAGGAATTCAGTCACAACAGGCAGTGAATCATTTAAGAGGCACTTAAAAGCATTAGTGAAATTAATTGCAAAGCAGCTACCAATTATGAAACAACAACCACTTTATTCTCTACACTTATAATTCCCAAGGTAAGTCAATCTTTGGACTGTGCAGAGGATGACAGCAAACCAGTTTCTTAAATGAGCCCCCAGAAAAATGACTACATATGCTGCTGAATGAACTGAAGTTGTCCCTGCAGGAAGCTATTTTATACCCAAATGGTTGAATCTTATCTGGTAATCTGATTCTAAATAGCACTTTACAGGTATTTTTTTGTTCTCAGTGAGCTATAATAATAAAATACACCAAGTATGAAAGAAAAACACCCATATTTTTGTATCATGTATTCAAACTTGTTTTGCAATTAATTTCACAATCTGGGGGGCACAACTTCCTTTGCAGCCCCTGAGTGATAACTGGGATTTTATCAAGAGATTTCAAGAGCTTTACAAAGGAGGAGCATTATTGTGCCATCTAACAAGTGGGTACCTGAGGGGCAGTAGGAATTTCAATGTCACACACTACAAGAGCTGGGCAAAACTCCTTGTCTTCTACACAATTGCTATTCAGAGACACAAACTTGGCCTTAACTCCATGTACATGAAACTACAGCTACAAGATTTGTATTACAGAAATACTTTGTTTTAATTCCTTCTGTGTTTACACACAGTTATTTCTTCAATGCAAGATTTAGTCATTAGCTCACACAGCTCCAATAGGCAAGGGAACTAATTTTGGCTGCTTCTTGAGAAGAAGAGCAAAAATTACCCTGGAAAAACAGCAGCAAACATATGTACTCAAAGCTGTGCTCACTTAAGACCAAATTTTGGTAGACACGTGGCTGCTGTCTGCTCACATACACGTGAAGTACAGGGATGGCCAAACCCCCAAAACTAAACCTAGACGCCTTCACATGAACAATTTTAATTTTAAATAGGTAGAAAAAGGTTAACTGAGAATGCTGTGCAGTTTCAGGGGATGAAGTGTGGAACCCAGCAGGTTCACCTGACAAAGCTGTGGCTGGAGGTGTGAACTGAGAGCAGGACAAACTCAGTTTAGGAAGGAGCACAAGGACATCAACTGCTATGAAAGAAACAGAGCAATGTACAAAGAGAGCCACAGGAGGAAAGAAAGCACGGGAGAGTTAATCTAACACTTAGGCTGGAAGATGGCAGCAGGGACTGCATCCCTTTTGGAGATGGATGAGGAGTCTCCTGCTCCTCAGGCCTGGACTCCACACTGGGGCAAACCTGCGAGTTCAAACACCAGCTGGAAGAACATTTTACAAGGTGGTGCCCAAAGCACTCACAGTTACATTCAGACACCTCAGTATGGGTGGTCTGATATCAAAGAGGGTGAGTGATTCTAGTTCTTACCACCTTCAGAGGATTTTCCTGGTGGGTGCCTGGTACTTCTGAGAATTAGGCCACTTAAATACAGGGACCTAAATGTGTTTAAAGGAAATAACTCTAGGCATTGTAGCTGGATAACCTTAACCAAAAGATCCCTTTTAAATGGAGTTTTCCATTTGAGAAGGACAAATTTCAAGTATTTTCTCCTGACTTCAAAAGCTTTTTCAATCGTTTCCTTAGTGGCATTGTGCACTGCAAAGGACAGCAAAGATACAGCTGGATGGCTTCCACTTTGCATAAGCTTTGTTTTCTGCAGCTTTCAATGTTTTCCTTTTTAGGAACTTGCTCCATGCTTGCTACTGCTCAAATAAACTCAAAGCAACATAAACAAGCTCCAAAATTAAATCTAGTTAAGAAACATTCTGATGTTTTAATTTTCACCTTTTTTTTTTCTCCCTATAAGTGCCTGGAATAAAAATATGCCCAAATGTCTGCTCGTCTGCAGTGTAGGTGCTATTACTGGCAGCATTCCATGGAGGGAAATTATTTTCTTTATTCTTCTGCTGATAGTTCCAAAGATTCAACTGTGGGTGTGCTTACATAGGAAGATGCTTTTGTAGAGAAGATCTACTTCTGCTTTAGCACTCTTCCCACTGAACATACTCCAGTGTGGACCGGTAAATACAGATATGTGCACTGCACTTAGTACTGGTTTGTCCAGCACTTAACATAATGTAATTGCTGCTTAACATCACCAAGCACCATCATTATCTCTAAAAACAAGCTGTAAGAGCTTGGAGGAAAGCAGCCATGAAACTATCTTTAGGGGGCATCAACAAAATAAACATACATTAGTCATTCACATTCTTTATGCACAGCCCTGAGAGAGGCTTCATTTCTCAACACCAAATATATGTTCCTCTTGAATAATAAATACAGTGCTATGCTTGCTCAAGTTTATATCAACAATTTGCAAAGCTAAGCCTGCAACTGAGCATCACAAATAGAATGCTGTGGCGTCAGAGGTTATATTTAATTTCCAAGTGTCTTTTATGCCAGCAAACAGTTTCCCACAGGGCAACGGCATGTGCTTGTGTGGACACAAGGAACTTTTTACTTTTGCCAATGAGCTTCCAGTTGGCTCTAAAATCAGAGCAGCTTCATCTTCTGCCTTCTTTCTCTACCTTTCTGCCCCATATTTTCTGTGAGACCCAGAACAGTTAGTGAATTTGTGGCTTTATTTCACGATGCTAAAAATTAAACAATTTACGAGTCTTTAGAAAGATGTAGTTTAAGTGTCCAGTGGACACTAACAGTTCCCTGTTAATGCCTGTCTCCATCAGAACCACTTCTGATAGTTACATGCCTGGGGATGGGACTGTACTGTGTGTCTTTATCTCCTGTACACAACAATGGAAAAAGGCTTTCACAAAAAAAAGAGGCTGTGGATGTTTATAGCATACCAAGGGAAAAAAAAAAGTCTCATGAAAAATCCCAATAAAAACTAAATTCTTCTTTCTTTAAAAAAGTAAATAAAGCCTTAAACGTGACAGCACTGCAAGGAATATTCAAGTAACTATTTTGTTTTGTATTGGAAGAGGGAGTGCTTTGCACAAATGTCCAAATTCTGGCCAAAATTTTAAAATAACCTAACAGCTTTGGCATGCTGTGGTTGAGACGTTACCGTAAGTCTGACTTGGAAGACTAAAATGTTTCTTTTTTAACTAAGAAGAAAAAAAAATAGATTTCAACATTATCTGAAGTTAACATAATTCTGGGACTTTTTATTTGAAGTTTTCGAAACAAGTATCTATCTAAGTCTTTTGTTCACTATGTGCTTTTCTGCAGATCCTGGATTTGATTTACAGAAAACTACCAACATCCTGACAGACTGTATCTTCCCTTTCCAGCAAATATTTTCTATCAATTGGAATGGCATGAAAAGACCAAACTATTAGGAAAATATCATATGGACCACAGAAGATTAATTTCCTTTCAGGAATGAGATATAAAAAATAGAAGAAAAGCAAATCTTGCTTAAGTTGAAAATGGAATGTTCAGGAGAAGGTCAGTATTTCCCAGCTTTGTGACTGGTTATGAACTTGAAGCACTGTCTAAGCTAAGGATCACAAGTTCTAGCTGTGCTGCTCCGCTGGGAACAGAGGGACAAAGGCTGGAATTGGAGCTCAGCCAGTTTCAAACAAGAAGACTTTGTACCTCATTCAAAATAACCCAACACTTCGCTCTCACTATTTCATCTAACATACAACATAACGGGTTGGAACATCCATCTGGAACATCTGACTACTTTTTGTTTGACTTCCACACAGTTTACACTGACCACTTAAGGCCAGCACGTATTTCATGACGATATGAGTGTGTAGGTATGACATGCTGAACTTTGTACTCGAGCTAAGTTTTACTCTTCTCTTTCAGGCACAATGGATGAAAATGAACAGACCATTAACAAACACAGCCTGAACAGAGGACAAGGTATGATGCTTCCTGTGTTTTCTTTTGCATTTCTCAGTGAAAAAAGGGGCTAAAGACAGTCTGCTAGCACCTGAGCCTTGCTGCTCCACAGAAGTAAGAAAAACCACAGAGGTAGGCTAGATGTACAAAAAGTGTTTCCCTGCTGACCACAGACCTGAGCTGTAACACAACAAACCCAGACCTTAAAATATGTCACCATGCTGATGTCAGCTGTCTGTAGTTTATTCATTTTCACCTGTTTAAAGTATTCAGGTTACTTCAGAGATTTAGCACAGACTCCTCACAGCAGCATTGTCACACCCGGTAGTCTTTCATACTAACAACAACCACAGAGCAGTTCTTCGCTTGATACTTCTGTATCAACACTGATCCTGTTACATTCCGTGTGTGACTAAAAAAATCGACACACTGGACACAAACAGTGCAATTCAACCCAGAAAGAGAAAATACCAGGTGCTAAATGAAAGAGATTAAGTACAAATTAAGAGCATTTGCTAAATATTTGTTGTTTTATGAAAGTATGTTTTGTGTTGTGTATCAGGTACATAATGCAGATGCCACCCTGCATGTTGTGAAAGAAAAGGATCTGGGGTTTATATTAGAGCGTCCAGTTGGCAACTGAAAAATAAATAAAAATTATCTTTTCTGTAGCTGAATTTTCAAACAGCTGTGATTTAGCACAAGCTCAGCTATTCCCAAGAATCCAGAGATGATGCAAAGGCCAGGGCTTGCTGCTCTCCAACTGATTTGAACAAAAGTAATTTTATTACAGGGTGGAAAAGCCTTAGCAAATTCAATTACTGCTGCAGTTATTCCATTTGCTTTGCAGATTATGGTTGAATTACCACTAGAAATGAGAACAAATACAGTGATGTTGCCACTTATTTACCCAAACATATAGGGGAACAATTTGACCCATGGATATTCTCATTCAACTGCAAAAGTCAATGGACACATGACAATCACCAACACGAAGTGGGGAAGACTGGGAGGGCAAATAAACCCTCATGAGAAAAGGCCCAATTCAGTACCATGTGCCCTGAAAAAGGCACTTGGTCATGACTAATACGAGGAACAATTTGGATAGTAACACAAAAGACCACTGAAATTCCACATAAGGCTGTCAAAATCAAAAACATCCCTCAACATTGTGCTATAGTTTGGAGGCATTAACATTGTGGAGGAGCAATGGGATATCTTAAGGGAGCACCATGTGATTTTGAGGAGTGGAGTAACAGAAATGGGATGAAATCCAACATTACTAAATGCATAAGCATGCACTTGGGGACTAATAACAGTCTTAAGCTACAGCAACAGAAACGGGATGGAACTTGGTACGACTAATTGAAACATCACACAAGTCAAAGCAAGAAGGTCTGAAGCTGACAACTGAGAAAAAGGCAGCCTGGTGGTACATATATCAGGTGGCTCAGGATGCCAGCAGGATGCACCACACAAACCAGAAGGATGCTGTACTGGACACTGTTGGACAAGTCAGGGAGTATCATTTGCATTATACATCCCTGCAATCTCATCTGAAACAAGAGTGTATAGTGCCAGTCACCCACATTTTGAGAAGTCAAGTGAAAACACAAACAAGTGCAGAGAAAAGTCACAAGAATAAAGAGACTGCATTGTGAGAATGGAGAGAAGAAGTGGGCTGATAAATCTGTGCAAAGTCCAGGCTGACAGGATATGACCTCCTTCTGGAAACATACCAGAACACTGGAGAGAGACAGAGACACAAGGCAGGAAAAAGTCCCTCTTGACTTTCAGTGGAATAAAAGCTTCTCATGAAGTAATGAGGACTGAAAATTAAAGAGGTTCTTAAGCATGGGAAAGCAGTGAGGTTTTGGAAGAGCTGGAGATGAAGAAAACTCCTCACTAATGCAAACTGGAACTTATAATGTGATTAACACCTGGGCCACCCAGAAGATCCTTTTACTCCTGCACTGCATGCCTGCTGTCCTGCAGAAATGGTGGCTGCAGGGCACACACTGCTGACATTGTAACCTACAGCTGCCATGAGCTCACATCTGCAGCTCTGCATTAACAACACATGCCCCAAAGTGTTAGATCTCTTGCAACACCCCATAACATGCCACAGACTTCTCATGCAAACTAAGGAGCTGAAAGAAATCTTATTCGACCTGCACCTTCCTGAAGAGACATCCCATACATCAAGGTTGAATTCAATTACATTTGGAATTACCAATAGAAAAGTTAATCTCTTTGTGAAAGAGAAGAAAACAAAAACCCCTTCCATTTTCAGAGCACTTTACACATACACTGTGCTCCCACTCTTCAGAGGTAGAAATGAAATTGAAACATTTTCACTCCTACTAAATTCTGTTAGCACCAAGACAAGTTTTCCACTCCTTACAAACTGCAATTCAGCAAGAAACCAACAAGCAGTTCACATCTGCATGCCGCTGTCTGCACACCACTGCACAGACTTGGTACAAACCACCTCTTAGCACTCATGATCCCTGGATAAATGTGATTTACGGTTGTGGTATATGACCGCAGAAGGGCAGGACAGCTCCTCGTTTGATTCATGCCAGCAGGCACTGTCATGCTGCAAACAGCCTCTTCAACTCCTGCAAATGCCAAGGTCAGCTAACCCCGTTCATAATGATGTCTGGATGAGCTCCACTGTCTCCAATTTGAATTTTTCAATGGTAAATATTCCCATATGTAATACTGAGTTCCAGCAGGTAAATGCTTTGCTCTGTAGTTCAAAGTAAAATGCCAAGACTTGATTCCCAGAAAAACAGCTTCAAACCAGAATTTATCACAAATACTCAATGTTCTTGAGTAGCACCATCACTGTCAAGTTCCACACACCCAAACTAAGATTACCATTGTCATACATAGATGTTTGCAACTCAGTACTGAAGTATAAAAGCACTAGCTGGTGTTTTCTAGAGGTACACATGCTTTGCATCTACCTTCTTAAAATCAGACCATTTTTATGTTGGTTTAGCAAGTTAAAAACTTTTGGTTCTGGTTGCCGGAATCCTGCATTACTGACAATTCCTACAGTTGCTGTGTGCCAGTGAAATGGAGAAGGATGTCACATGGAAAAACAGAGACACCCTGCAAGAGTAACAACAGCTGATTTCTTGTTATCAAAAGCTTCTCAAGAGGAGCTTTAACTGGTTACTCCATTAGAATTCAACCTGTTTTTCCAGCAGCAAAGAAACCTGAGCCAGGTTTTCAGCTGTCTTAACAACAGCATGGTGCACACCTATGAGAGATACTTACCTGCTGGTGGCCAAGCCTTGATATAGCCAGTGCAGTGGACAACAGCATATTGTGCTTCACCTTCTTTCACTGGGCCAAGGCCATTCCTAAATGAACCAGAAACACAAAAAAATCATGTTGATTGCCATGCAAAACAGCTTTATGCTTGGAATCTACAACTACTTATCACTTACTGGTCTTTCTAAGTTCCATTAGAAACCACCAAACATCAACCTAGAGTTTTGCACACTCTCAGCTCAATTACATTGCTGTTCAATACTATTCCCCTGGAATTTCTCCAAGAGAGACACTGAAATTTATTTCAGAGATGAGACTGGTTAAGAGAAAGAATTTGAGTGACTTGTGCAAAAAGATTTTGTTTGCAAAAAGATCCAGTGACTTTGTCCGAGCTGAATTTACTGGCAAGTTCTCCTCTCCCCAGCCCCAGGGCTATTTTCTGCTGTGTGCTCATCTAAGTCAGGCCCCCAAATACCCACACAAACCCATCTCAGTGTTCCAGTAGCTCTCTTGGACAGAGCATTTTGACTGCCATACACCAGCTACAATGTCAGCAGATACTAAGCACTCCTGGAGTGAGCATTAGCCCAGTGGCAAATGAGAGTGTTATGGCAACTAATTGGTTTGTAGTAAATTAAGTAATAGTACCTGTATCTTTTTCTCATGGTGGTTATTCTGTTCAGAGGTAAATGATCCAGAGGAGCATTTCCACACCTAAAAGTAAATTAATATTTCAAAGGGTTCAAAAATTACTATTAATACATATGATGAAAATGCATTTTAAGATCTTTATTACCACATATATGTAAGTAGACAATAACAGATGTTTACTTCTGACAAAGTTGCAGATTCATGTTTTCCTAGCCCTTGCTTCTTCCCTAGACTGAGCTTTTTGGCTATGCTACAAACAGTTCCTTTCTTTTAGAAAAGTAGAAGAGACTAGAAAAAGATTCCCTCCTGCACTTCTCCAACCTGAAGAAGACTTGAAATTGTTATTCTAAGAGTGGCTAAAGAACAGATACACTTCAGGACACCATAAAACAAGGGTGAAAACTAGAGAAGTATGTAAGTCAGGCCCCCAAATATCCACACAAACCCATCTCAGTGTTCCAGTAGCTCTCTTGGACAGAGCATTTTGACTGCCATACACCAGCTACAATGTCAGCAGATACTAAACTAATGTTTGTAAAATCAAACTATTTACACTGTTAAGTAACTTTGTTTAACACTTGTTCATGTGTATTTTGTGATATTTCTAACTATGCCTAACTGTATAATTTCAACAATCCATTGGAAGCTGAGTAAATAGCTTGAAGGGTAAAAGCAGTTCATTTTCAATGGAAAAGAGAAAAATAACAATGAAAGAAGCAATCACAAAGAAAGTTGACATTAATTGAAGCTCATTCTTCCCAGAAACTCTTTTTAAATTCCTTTTATTTTTTTTCTTACCAATCACTGCCAAGGAGAAGGAATGAACAATTAAAATAAGATTTAGAACTACAAAAACAATGGTGCTACTGGCACGAGTAAAATCACTCTCTTGTACTGGAGTTTACAGAACCAGGGTGCTAGGAAATAGCTGCAATCAGAATTGTTGTTTTAAAGGCTCAGGAACAACTGTAAACATGACATTAGGCCTGGTTTTCTTTGTACAAAAATGTCCTCCTAACCTGATCAGTGTGTGCAGCTTGGAGGAAGAAAAAGAAATGTTCCCAGCGCCACTCTGCCAGGCTGGATTTCCTTCCTCCCAGTTAAGGGAGGAAAGGTGCTATAGGTGTTCTAGCTCTAAAGTCTGATCATGCAGGTATGAAGTATATAAACCCCTAACAAAGGCACCCAGGAGCCATACATTCAGCCTCCTCATGTGACTGGAAGAAAATCTACCACATAACCAAAGTACAGGCATTTGTACTTCATATGTCAAATATTTGGCTTTGTGAGTTTCATCCCATAACAAACTTTGCATTAGCTGTTTTCAGCATATGTATTGAATACAGGCAGCAGATGCAATTATGTACTTTCCCCTTCTAACCACACAGCCAGAAATTTATTGCAATAGCAACAGGCATTTTACACTGTTAGCACTAACACAACAGAAGTGCTCACAAGCCCCAGTGAAAAGCACTGGGCAGGCAAATCTCTTTAAAGAGGCCAAAGCAATGCAGGAGAAGTTGGAAAATTGCAAATTAAAACCCCCTCGAACAATTACTCATTTATCTAGCATCAGCCAGCTGACATCTGGTTAATTCATAACAGGTTTAGGTTAATTCCTTCATAGCTGGCAAGTTTGCAACTGAATTCCTGTTTATCTTCAAGATTCTTTTAATATTATTGGTTTGCTGAAAAAATACACAGAGTTGGGCTTTCATTACACTTTTGTTCCCAAAGTATTGGTTCGAATAACTTGACTGGAAGAGACAATGGCTTACATTCCAGGGGTGAAGCTGTCAGAAAGTTCTCTGGGAAAAGCATCCTACACCCCACCTACACAAATGAGGTGTTGATATTAATCCTAAAGCAAGATCTGTTTCAGTTTTATTCCAGTTCCAAAAGCAAGCACTCTAGAAATGCTTCATGGGAGTGTGCCACTATAGCTTTGGTTTTTAAGCCAGGCTAAATTAGTGCAACAAAATATCTGAAGTCTGAGACAGGACTGGAACCATCACGGGACTCCAAGGTAAATGCATACCTCATCCTGCAAATGAAAGAGCGCCTTGATCCCATGCACATTCTCATTGAGGACTGCTGACCCTCTTTCTTTACTGTTCCAGTCTTCAAGTCCAGGATTCGCCCTAGAAATGCCAGGAAGAGCAACTGGTGTTGAGTACAGAAATGTAACTCCATTTCCTAGAAACTAAGATAACAGTAAGTTCTTAAGCTGAATTTCATTAGCACAGTTAGGGCAAAAAATGCCAACAAAAAATCTTGATCCTGGTCTCAACAGGAGAGAATCAGTTATGTGCTGGCTGAACTAACAATTTCAGCGAGGCTGACTCTGAGTCACCATAGTGATGGATCTTTTCTTGGCTGGCCCAAGACCAACTTCCAAGACAGAGTCAAATGTCTGGAGCCAGAGAAGACAGTGACAGCAGGCATAGCTTACTCACTCCAGTCTTTACCAGAACCGTGGATAAAGCAACATGTATAGTTCCCCAAACAGCTGCTCCTCTTGCCCTGTGCCTATCCAGAACACTCTGACCACAGCACAACCTCACACAATCAGAGCTGCCATGATGGTGAAGAACACACAAGACCAAACTTTTCTCCTTGATGATGTGATACAGGATTTGTCACAACATGACTTGTCTTGGGGCCATTTCAGAGCTGATAAAAAACTGACAGGTCAGAGTACTTTTGAAGTCAATTTTCAGGCAGATCAGTGAGATTATCTGACTTGCCACACAAGTCTATGCATGGTCCATGGCCAGACCCTGCTGACCAGCATCAACTGACTACAAACCTCAGAATCACACACCACAGACACAGCATTGAAAAGGGGATGACAAGTCATCTCAAGAGAGGACAAGATGGAGGGAGCACTGAGCTGACACTCCTATGGTATGTTGGGAGAGGTCTTTGTCAAAAAACAAAGGCAGCAAGGGGGTAACATTCATTTTTTCATTCTAAACAGAGGGCAGTGATTACTACAGACAGGTTCAGATCAGTGGCTGCAGGATACTGAGTATCACCTAGAATCCTTTTGCTTATCACCAAAGCACCAACAGAATGGACATTCACATCTACAGCTCAACTGCTAATAGATGACTATAAAATCTAGCACAGACTAGAAATGAATCACTGGACCAGATCCACAGTGCTTCAGGGCCGGACGAAGCACAAAAGTGACAGTGGGCAAGAGAAATGCAGTGGAACAGCTGCTAAGCAATGAAATGACAGCCACCAGTGTTGATGACACATGGCCATGAGCAAACCCATGGGCATCTTTCACTAACTGAAACTACAGAAGCCTAAGTCTTTACTGTGACATAACTAGCTGGGTTTACAGCAATATAAGATACCATTCTCTGTACCAAACTGAAGAAATCCTGCAGAATACATTCAAAGTCTCCCTCACCAGACTGATTTAAAAATCTCTGTCCAAAAATTAAAGTTCTGAAATAATCCTACTGCCAAACATTGATCTCAGAATTACTTTAACTGAAAACACTCACTTCCATCCACAAATGGGAATAAAATCATCACAAAATAGTTTAGTGTTTTAGATAAGAAACTAGGCAGCAGCATTTTAGTCTTAAGGTATACTCCAGATAACTCCTTGGAGGAAAGCCACCCTGGCCAACAGAAGGTCAGACATAATTTAGTGTATCTCCAAGGTGTATATCGGATGGTTAAGAAGTTAGCAAATCTGGGAACAATTCCTAAAGATGCTTCAATTCAAAGCACTGGGCTATATATTAATACTGATCTATGATCCAGGTGTGAGCTGGGAAGAAATCATACCACCACATTTCCCAGCTCAGTTACACTGAGCTGGGAAGTAGGATGGATCTGAAGTTCAAACACACTTCCCTTCCGTGAATAGCCACAGTCTACTTCCCCATCCCCTCAACTAATCACACAATTTAGAGAAATAAAATATCAGCAGGCAGGAGGCAAACTGACTCACAAATGAAGGCAATACATGACAAAGTAAATAGAGAATATATGTGCAGGCTCCAATGCTGTCCATGCCAGTAAAATCAAACCATTAAAACAATTTTCTCTGGACACAAAAGCTTTGTCATACACATGAACAAAAGAAAAGTTGTTTTCTGTGCACTTTTTTCCCCATTCCAATATAAATTCTTCAAGAGACACTGATATCTATCAAAATGCACTAACAGTAAATCTAACTCAGCTAACAGAAATTTCTCTGCTTTTATCATCCAAGAGCATCTATAAATAAAAGGATACTTCACAATTATGTGGCCACTAAGCCTAAAATTGCTGACATCCTTTGGCACGTCTGGAACCTCCAACAACAAAAGTCAGAGTTTTTAAATTTAGCTTTTCTGTTTGGCAATGTCTTAGAAATATGTACCAGATAACAAATAGAATTCTAAATTTTGCCCTGACTTACAAAATCACTGCAGGGGGTATGTGGGAGTATGAGTCAGAGAAATGTTTGGTACACAGATATTACAACAAACCTCTCTCAGCAGCTTGTTTCAATAGTCCACAGTGCATGTGTCAACCTTGCTGAGCTCAAACATTGCACTGCAGATTCTGATAAAGAACAAACAGTTTGTACCTCTTAGAAGCTTATGATCACATTGTGTTAAAAAGTGGAAGGATTGCAGATGAATAGACAGGTCAAGCAAACTGGCATAAATTGCATCTCAGCATCACACAGTTCAGTTCAAGGAGGTGGCATGCCCTGATGACAGCTCTGTCACAGATCCATAAAGTATTCCTATCTCTGTGTGTTCCTGCATATTTTACACCGGTGCAGCCTCCTCAGTGATAAATGCTCATTTAGGTTTCTCCACAGGACACGCATGAAGTAAATCTGAAGTTAAAACTAGCAAAAATATTCTTATTAATAAGTAATATTCATGGATGCTTTGACAACTGCTGTCAATTGAATAGTGCACGCTTGTGTTTTTCTAATTTCTTCTTCTAGTTTCTTTAGAAGAGCAGTTTAACAACCAGTGCCACCACCAGCTGGATCCCTTATGAGCTTCCTCATAAACTGGTAATTGCATGCAGTTCATTTTCATGTTAAACTTTTCCCCTCTCCAGCTCCAGACAGAACCCTGGGATACAGCAAGTGCAGGAGCACTGCTGTGACTGACACTGCTGTGTTACTGCCACTGACAGCAGCTGCACAACTCGGAGGAAACCAGAGCTTACCCTGCTGCAAAAGAGAAAACAAACACATGAGCACCATGCTTATTAAACCAGCACATAAATCTCTCTGGTTGGTCTGGGCATATTTGATAATTTGTTGAAATCTCCTCACTACACTCCCCATCCAGAAGGCAGCACTGCTTCAGCCTGTAATAAACCAGTTGTCCTCTGAGCAGGAACCCACTGTGTGATCCAGGAACCTGATGTCTGCTGCAGTTACAGGAATGGGCTATCAGAGGGGCCATAGAGGTGAGGACAACGGGCAGGTAATTCATTATTTGGGTAAAATTAGAGAAGCCATATAAAGCTCTTCCCACTAAAGGGATAAGTTGGTAACAGATTCAAGTACTGAGGATACATGCCAGAAACATTCCCTGCAGGGTGCTGCAGGATGTTTTCAAAGATGCTCTAAAAACATTCTCATGATGATCAAGGGGACAAATGTTCACATTGGCACTGATATGCCCCTTGTGTGTGCAAACAGTGACTGGATTATGCACAAACCTTCCCCTTTTGGAACTCCAATTGCTACTGTGAATGTTCAAACAGGTTTTCTGTGCTTGCTATGTTTGGGATGAACCTAAGCCAAAGATTGGCTCCAGCCTACTGAAGTTCATGGGGTTTCAAATCTGGGAGTTTGGCTCAAATCCACTTTTACACAATAGCACCAGCCTGTTAGAAAATGTGTTCCTCCATGTTTATGCACTGTATGCTAAGGTTTATAGCCTGGTAATCAAACACAGCCTGTTCTTTCTTACTTCTTTCAGTTCTTGGTTTGTTGTTTTGAGTTTTTTTGTGGATTCAAAACTCCATAAACTTCACCACCTAATTCCACCACAAATGCTTTCTCTGCTGGATTTCCAATTCCTAAGTGTCTTACAGCCTGTAACTAGAAAGAAGAGTTCTTACATAAGGGCATTCTTCTGCAAAAATGTCAGTGCAAGCTGAAATGGCTGTCTCTAAAAACAGCCATACTGTGCTCACATCCAGTTTGCAGCATGGAAACACCCATCTTACAGAGACTGGAAGAAATTTGTTTTGGCCTCATGCGCACAAAAATACTGTTGGCAAAGTACATAACACAATTTTCCATTTCCCTCTAACTCATAGGGACGTGGACTGCTGTCTCACACAGAATCTCAGACCTGATAAGGAAACAGTCTGAATTAATATATGGAGTCTCACATGCCCTCAGTACCTTCAGTGACCCAGCAAGCTTAGTGCTGTAGGTATGTCTTGCCTTGCAAAGAACAAGTTAGATATTTCATAATTATTCTCAGCCACTAGATTGTCTACATATTTCTTTCCAGGCAAAATAAAATATAAACAAAGTTTGGTTTGGACAAGATAACAAAAGATGACTTTGTGCTCCCCAGAAATACTCCACAGGTTGCACAAGGAAGACAAACAGAACACAGGAATACTGCACCCAAAAATCCTTATGAAAACTAAAAACATCTTTATCTTACTATAAAACCGGAAAACACAAGACAGTGATGCAGGAAAACAAGAGGAAATAATTAAAAGCAAAAACAAAGTGATGGTCAAGGTACTGATGCTTCTGACACAGCTCCAAATGCAAGCTCACCCTCAAACTGAAGGGTCAGAGAACAAAGGACTTTTCTCTGGTGATGCTCTCTATTAGTACATTAAGTCATCAGAAATTAGTGGCAAAGATCAGATTGAAAATGAGTGTTCTCAACTAACACGGCTTGTAGAGAATCAAGATACAGGTCACTACTTGGGTTATCAAGTTCCAGAAAACAAGGTGAAACTCTTTTTGAAGTTTTCATTCATCAGTGTACAATACAAGGACCAACTACAGCTGAACACTCAGCTTTACCCTGAGGTGCTCAGCAGACAGAGCTCCTCTTGAAAACAGTGGATGCATTCTGAATACATAAACAAAATGTCTTCAATGAGATTAAGCAGTGTAAATTTG